TCCTATACGCGGAACGAACTTATATACATGTTTAAACATTATTTGGGCAATAGATATATTTACAAAAACTTCATATGAATCAAGTAATATCCTTTTTCACTAATTACAATAACAGAAGTAGGTGTGGATATGTAGATAGAGGTCCAGGTGACTAGTGTTTGTAAAAAGTACGGGAAAATATTCTGATAGACCTACCATGAATTGATGTCCATCATAATTAGCTGTTCATCCAATGAGAGCGTTGGAATTAGTGGTTCGACCAATGAGAGAGTTGCTGCATGTTCGTCAAATATATAAATGGTACATATATGTCCAACATTTCCTATACGTGGAACGAACTTATATACATATTTAGACATTATTTGCACAATAGATATATTTACAAAAACTTCATATGGATCAAGTAATACCCCTTCTCACTAATTACAATAACAGAAGTAGGTGTGGATATGTAGATAGAGGTCCAGGTGAATAGTGTTTGTAAAAAGTACAGGAAAATATTCTAATAGACCTACCATGAATTGATGTCCATCATAATTAGCTGTTCATCCAATGAGAGCATTGGAATTAGTGGTTCGACCAATGAGAGAGTGGCTGCATGTTCGTCAAATGTATAAATAGTACATATATACAACAAGAAAAGATAACGTTTGAAGCTGAAATCTGATGAATGAAACATCAGTGATTTCAGACAACTTTCTGTGCCATAATTTCGCAATATGCTCGCCTCAAGGCGCGAAATCCCTAAGCATCCTAACCCAACGTTTACCTAGCCTAGGTACCATCCTGGTTAGTTTACGTCCGCTCCCACATTTACCAGTATTCACCGATAAATGGCCTAGTTCTTCTATCTTGCTTTCGGTTCTGAAACGTTCCCTTCTGATGTTGTTTTTCCCCTTCCCTTTCCTCCAGCGGATGGGCAATTAGAAGAGGAAGGTAATTGCAATCGGAGAGGCTGTACATATTATTCCCCCGTTCCTACCAGACTTCACAGAACCGGAGCCATTAGCTAATTGGCCCTCGGCCCTTCATCACACAAGGGGGAAACTACATACCCTTGAATTAAAAACTTGCAGGGCACAGGCTAGTAATAGGGCTTTCCTATGTTAATATATGGGAATTACGTCAAAACAACGTGGTCAAAATTCATATACCTGAGTTTTAGACCTTGACGAACATACATTGGCAGGGCAGTCAAACCTCTCAAGTCTCCATTCCCCGAAAATGAAAAAATCCTACGCATCTAAACCATGTGAGAATTGTATCCAAACATTGAGAAGTGACCCCTGACCCCTCTGGACAGCTGATGACCGCATGTAAACCTATATCTTCTTCAGCGAGCCAGACAACACAAACATGGCTGCAAGTCTGTTTTTTCACCAAAATGAAAATACTACAACCCTTACCTATAACATCCAAGTCCAAAACAACAACATTTCGCACCAAAAAGACTTCTTTACACTCTACATTACATTGCCATCTCTATATACTAAAACTGGGCCCTCTGCGCCTACGCTATTACTAACCTTTGCCCTTCAAAGGAGCTAGGAACTATCTCTAAACGACATGCGTGCAAACAACAAATCAACCTCCCCTTTCAGGTTGCAGTTAACCGAATTGATGTAGTAGAATGGTAAGAAGAGGGGGACCAGATAAAGTTCGTTTTAACCGTTGCCTCCTCTGCGTCGATGCATTTTCAAACCTACAGCCTTCTTCAGGAGTGCGTGACCACTCCTTCGTCACGTGACCTTCCTGCCACGTGACGTCATCGACGGCTCGAATGTGCCGCCATTTTGTCTCTGTTCAAAGCAGGGTTCAAAGTTACCCAATTCCCTATGGCCTCAAAAAGGCTACCATTTACCTTTTACCAAGTTTTTTTCAACTCATTTTTTTTCATGGCACGACATGGTTACTTCGGCGGAATAGCATCTTGATGCCGTCGCGGAAGTCTTTGTTGAAGAGAGCGTATATGACAGGGTTGAGAGCGCTGTTGCCGTACCCCAGCCACTCCACGAACATGAAGAACGGCGGCGGCACCCAGCACGTCTCACACAGCGTCACCACCAGGTAGCAGACGAAGAACGGCAGCCAGCAGAAGATGAAGATGGCCACGACGCAGAAGATGATCGACAGGGACTTCCTCTCTTTAAGCTGCGCGGCTCGCAGCTTCTCCCGGGCCTTCCTTCTGTGCATCCGCGAGCTTTTGTCCAGCTTCTGCTCCTCGCTCTCGAGCGTGGCTTCCCTCGAGCGCAAGGCGCTGAAGATCGCCGACTTGACCCGGCTGGTTTCTGGGGCAGGCTCCAGTCTGGCTTCTTGGTTGACGGGCTGGTGGTCGGGGTTGCCCATGGGCTTGACGGGTGTTACTTCTTCCACCTCGGGGAGCCAGGCCTCGGCTATACTGCCGATGGGTCTTGAACTGTTCGTCACCTACAAAAAGCGTTACACACATGTATTAGTGGTTTTAAGTCTAAAACTATGAAGGCAACTTTATTGACACAATAATTTCGTAAGGTCTTCTACAATTACACTACAACTGTAGAACAACTAGTGGATTTAGATGAAATACTGTATATTGTTTTGCAGTAACGCATTGCCTCTAGCTGCGCGAAACACGAATTTTCAAGGTTTTCGTTGGATGTTTAATCAACGTTGCATCAGAGTTTTGCCCGTTACAGACAATATATTTTATATTTTCCGACACAACATTTGAAAACTATGGAGGGGATGTCATACACGAATACGACCTTAAATGAGACGTTCTACCGAAGTGCAATATGCAATGCACAATACGTATACCTTGCGGATTTTGCAAAGCGAAGGAACAGTACATTTTCAAAAGCTCCCGTTAAAGTGGCCGTTAAAACTTACCATAACTTTGTCAGTAGCTGGTCTGGTCATCACGGGCAGGACAACCATCTTGCCGTCGAAGTAAGGTCCCCTGGGTAGAAAGGCGTTGGACTTCCGAGGCTCGTAAAGGGGTTTTAAGGGCTCCAGGATTGGCAAGGCTTTGTCCTGGTGAGACAGAGTGTCGCTGAGGTCACTGGAGAACTGTTTTGATTTTTTTCAAACAACATACGATTCAGAATAAAGTCGTATTTTCTGTCTTTGTCTCTCTCTTTGTCCCTCTATCTTCCTCTCTCTGTCTCTCATAATTTCATCAATTTTCAAAACTGCATTATTAGGACGATATATCATCAATTTTCTGGTGATTTCTTCACAATGTTGAGACAACCTGATAGGTCTTACTCCATTGCAAATGTTTAAATAAATGTCATTAAAAGCTGGAGACAAAGGGCTCTTACATTCTCATAGTTTGTACATGTGGTAGTGCCACAAAAAGTGTTGGTGTAGACTAGACTGATTTACCACCAACCATATGAAATTTGGGATAGTTACACAACTATATGTCGAAAAGTGGAGGCAAATCTCAATCACAGGAAGATCTTTTCAGTTACAATATTTCAATGTTTAATGTCCTTTTAATGGTCAATAGTATTCAATACCATTCATATAGCATTATAAAGTTCGACTTACGCATACCTTGTTGGGATTTGACGTCATGGAGTCTTCGAATTCGAACTCGCTGTCAGTCATGTGATGTCTCTTCAGCACATTCGATGGTCCCGAACCGGTTCCGTCCGCTTGGGTCACGCTCGGGGCTCCATGGCAACCAACGGCTGAAAAATACGTGAGGCGTCGTTATGTTTTTTTATGTTTATCGAAGAAAAACATCCAAAACATAGATGCCTTGCTCTAGTTCTAACACTGTCCTTAGTGCTGAACTGCCATCCAAAACAGTGATGCCTTGATTATGTTTACCAAAGGAAAAGATATCGTTTTTGCTCTGTTTCCTCTTCTTCCTCTTCTCCAACCCAATAAGGTCGTTATGTCTTTTTATGTTTATCGAAGGAAAACATCCAAAACATAGATGCCTTGATTTAGTTCTAACACTGTCCTTAGTGCTGAACTGCCATCCACAAACATTGATGCCCTTGCTTCAGTTCTAACACTGTCCTTAGTGCTGAACTGCCATCCAAAACAGTGATGCCTTGCTTTAGTTCTAACACTGTCCTTAGTGCTGAACTGCCATCCAAAACAGCGATGCCTTGATTATGTTTACCAAAGGAAAAAATATCGTTTTTGCTCTGTTTCCTCTTCTTCCTCTTCTCCAAACCAACAAGGCCAATGACCTGAACCAGAGTGAGACGTCTGTTACCATAGTAACTAGTGTTAGGTTACATCGTGTTGCAATTTTATAGCAGGAGGGATTTAGACTCCTGTTATCATATATATGGCCTAAGTAAACGGAGGCGCTACCAGCCGATCCGTCTGACGGGTCTAGACCTTTTAGCCGAATGGTTAGAGCGTAGGGGTGTAAGCTGGCGCCGGGTTTGGCGTGGGTTCGATCCCCAGCCCGGATCCAAGAGTTTCTTTCTGTTTCTACCCTCTTAATTCTTACAAAGCTACTGCACTTACCGTTTTTGTTGCGGGTTTTGAATCTCTTCCTGATGGCGCGGATGATGCTGGTGTAGACGAACATGAGGACCACTAGCGGAATCCAGAAGGACGACACCGACGAGAACACCACGTATCCCGGGGAGCTGTTCAGTTGGCACCCTGGTGCCTCATCGCTGGTCTCCTAGAATCAGAGCGGGAGCGTCAAGATCGTATCTTGTTCTCATGTTTCAGTTTTTCAGACAACATTGAAGTTACTAGAAATAAAACATTCTGATGTTGTGGGTTCGTGTGGCGTAACGACAGAGCGTTCGTCTCGGATACAAGAGGTCCCGAGTTCAAATCCTGCCATGCCATCGATGGGAAAGGTACTTTACATGGATTTCTTCACTTTACCCATGTGAAAATGAGTATGGTGGTTGTCCGTTTGTCTGCGTTAGTAGTGGCATAAATATAAGTTGAAGAACTTAAGTGTGCCGTCGCCATTGTAATAAATGTTGGAATAGAAACAAATTCTGATAACTAACAAAATCTGCGTCAAACGACCCTAGGCTCCTCTTTATTCCTCATATCGGATTACTTCTTGTACAGGAAACCAATGATTTCGTTAGAAATCTTGGAAAGGGGTCTTCCTGTATCCTATTATGACAGGATACGTATACATCGAATACAGTTATTCATACAGCATGAATACTGTAATCAAGTCTCAATATATCTATCCACATTTTCTTAGGTAAAGACCTACCCAGAACCAAACACTTGAAAATACGATCACAACAACAGCTAAAGAAATGGAAATGAAAATACAAGATTCTTCATGGAAGCAAGGAGGTTATGGTGCAAGTAACGATCAAAAAAGTCATCAACACAGAGGTCTATGACCGCTATAGAGGTTACGTAGCGTCCACTCGAAATCTGCTTGCCATCGAGCTATTCTGTTTTTCAATTTTTGCCATCTCGAGTAATTGGAGCCAATTTTCCAAAGGGGCCAATTACAGCACAAAGGTTCGTGCAGGAGGGATGTGTGGGGGCTCTTGAGGGTCTTGGTAATTAGAGGTTACACGTAAAAGTCTCCAAAGTCTTTCTCTTGTTTCCCGTACTCGAAGCACTTGAATATGCGTCACGATAATATCAGGTTTACTTAGGCCATAGCAAGTAATTTTTATGGATGACATCAGCACGCGCGCATTAATTTTCGCCTGATTTTGGAGAAAAAAGAAGAAGAACTTTTGTTGCCTTCTGACAGTGGTCAACATGCCGAAAATAGGCAAAGATGTCTGTTACCATGCCGGAAGGTGGTTGGCAGATAACTATGAAGAGAGGGAACAAGAAAAGGCTCTGATTTAATGTTTTGTTTCTTACTTTGATGCAGTGATATGTGATGCTGGCTGTGTATATGTGATGTTCCCACTGCATCAAAACCATTTTTACAATGATTGAGTCAAAATTTTAAATTGTAGGAACCTTGTTTTTTCGGCTCGCCTTGTTTTTTTTTCGCCCGCTCGCATTAGATTTGGAGTCTGCGGAGGATGTCATCCATAGAATTTACTTGCTGTGGCCTTAGGTGCGTTCGCTGGTAATGCTATATACGGCAAATCCGGAGAGTCCTTTCAAACATCTAATCAGAATTCAATATGTGATTACTATAATATTGGCGTGGTGCGTCATTCAATCTTTGATTACTATGGAAACTGTTTGGGAAACAGCAAAAATGGGGACAGGCCGTCAGGATGTATGAATAGTGTGTAATTGGGAATCCTTGATTGCATTATGTGTAAGGCGTGTGGTATTGTACACATTTAGTTTGGTGATTGCAGATATTTCCCGTCGAAAATGGTGGGTCATTATACCTAACAAAGGCTGAAGCGTGGGCAGAAAATTCATATCAAGAGTTGTTTTCCCCTGGTGTAAATCGATGGAAAAACGTTTCTCCTAATTTGCAGAAAGAAATTGACTCAACTGGGATTTTCGATCGAATCTCTCGGTCTTCAAAAGCTACCTGGCTCAATCAAGTAATGTAGATAGCACGTCGGCAGAACGTACTGCACGTACTGACGTAACACGTGCGAAAAAGTGGTGTTTTGAGGTGAAAATTGAAGTAAATAAAAAACTGTTCCTTACAGAACCGCGACGGGGGCCGATATCGTCTACCAGATACCTTTGACGCAGTGTTGACGTCACACTTCAAAGAAGCCACGTGACAAGCCTCACTGGGTCAGTCTACTGAGGAAGACCAGAGTGACTGGTCGAAAGCTCTAGGTGAGAGAACTTTTTGTGTTGGATCTAAAGTTTGAACTCTAAACATGTAACTACCAACACAGATGAACTTTCATGATAGTGTTCCTTACTTGCTTGTCCGTCGGGACCTCCCCGCTCTTCCAGCCGAACAGCGGCGGGAGGCACACCAGTGCTGAGGACAGCCACACGATGGCGATCATGATGCCCACCCGGCGCCGGGTCCGCATGCTCAGGTACTTGATGGGTTTGGTGATGGCCCAGTAGCGGTCAATACTGATGGCGCACAGGTTAAAGATACTCGCTGTGCAGGCGAAGACGTCTAGAGCCAGGTAGATGTCACACCAGGTCTACGAATAAAGTCTTAATCGGTTATTTTTGGCACAACAAAAGTACGACTGTACGGCGACTTTCGTAAGGGTCTACAACAACTAAACAAGCGGTCAATACTGATGGCGCACAGGTTAAAGATACTCGCCGTGCAGGCGAAGACGTCTAGGGCCAGGTAGATGTCACACCAGGTCTGGAAATAGACTCTTCATCGGTCAGTTTTGGCACAACAAAAGTACGACCGTATGGCGACTTTCGTAAGGTCTACTACTGCTGTCTCTCACTATGTTAACTGGTGTTGGGCTACATAATGTTGCAATTTTATAGTAGGAGCCGAGGGATTTAGACTGTCACCATATATGTCAACGTGTTTGAGTAAGAATTAACAGAGCAGACCATGTCCGAAGGTAAACATTATGCATTTGCTTTGCAAATGTTACCTTTCTAGTTGAATTTATCTATTGGATGAAGTGAACAAAATTCTGGTGAGCAAGCGGAAAGAAAGTTGAACAGTTTCTCTGCAGCCTCCACCAGGCCTTCCTTGGTGTAGCGATAGCGTGGATAATTGGCCAAGGAAGTGAGTCGCAGTGATAGTAAACTTTCCCCTTGCGCGAGCAAATGAACTCTATGGTGGCCAAACTACCGGGCAAACATTGATTCCCTACAGCCAACATGCATGTAGTTGGCCTCGTAGAGACTGCTTTCTCAGGGCATGGATGTTAGCCTGAGTGTCAGCCTTGTTAGCTTCCGTCCGCTCCCCAAGATGTCGACGGGGAGCGGTTCTTGGAGAGCGGACGAAAGCTAACAGGGCTGACACTCAGGCTAACATCTATGCCCTGACATGTAGCTTTGACTCACAACTTTGAGTTTTGGAAAGTCTGAAGGATGAAATCTACGCCTTCTCTCAAATAAAAGAAATACGAATCTACATGCGATTTATCGTTAGCGATTTTTCTTCAATTGTCTTGCATGAAGTCAGGAATACGGCTTAAGGGATGTCAATATATTTATTTTCGGGAATAGGGATTGTGATATCTACGACGTTTAAGAAATTTGAAATTTATTTTATTGAAATTATAATTATAATAATTTATTGAAATTGTAACAATACAAAACACGTAGGACAAAGGCAGCTGTTGCTGGTGTTGTGTACCACACATAGAAACAACTACAGGGCAGAAAATTCACATTTTCACTTGAATTAAGTGAGAAAAGTCGTGTAAAGTGCATTTTCCAAGGGCACAGGATCGGTGGCATGTCAGGACTCGAACCCGGGACCTCTCGGTTCCTATTCGAGCATGCACTCTTTCGTTACGCTATACGCTGCACGGCCCGGTTTAAGGAATTGAAATGTTGTTTTGTTGTCTCCGTTTGTTGTATGTGTTCGCCTTGCGATGAGGCACCCATCCCCGCCAATCTTTTCTGTGAGACCAGAAGGCCCAGCGCATGCACACAGGGGTTAGGGATGGCCCGTTTCAGCACCAAGGACATCGCCATGCCTGGTACCCAGTAGTTGTAACAGGCGCTTGTAGCTGTTGTACATTTTTCTCTATATTGACAAATTTCATGTTTCGCATATTAAACCTAAAAATACAACGTGCTGAAATACAACCAAGCAGCAGAATACACTACATTACATGCTGTTTTTTTATACTAGTAACCTCTTTAAGGACAGAAAACTGGCGAACCCGCACTGCACTATCCTAGCAACTCAAAAAGCATCACCCTCAAAATTGAAGATGGCCTCTTCACCTTTTCCCTCACCAAGGACGTTACTTTACTGGGTCATTCCTCTCCTAGCACGATCTTCCATCCCCTTATATGGTTGTTTTCGTGCGGCGGCGTCTATTATTATATCAAAACATTTGTTCACGAAGAGCTCTCATAGAAATAGATAATGATCTGCCGGCACATAAGGTTTTGAAGTGTACGCGTGTACTACACATACATATTTTCAAACATAAAAAGGCAGGAAGCTTGATATCAACGGCTGTTGGTTCAAGCAGTTGGGATAGAGATTACTAATTAGTCCTATGAGAATCCATAGCCTCAAGTACCAATCTTCTACTTCTATAGAGTGCGGCTCTCAAAGGAGCAATTTAGAGGAAGCTTGTAAGGACCTAACACAAAAAGATCCGCAGTGCAGGGATCTTGAAAGATTTTGAATTGCTGATTTAATATAATGAGAGGGCGGTGAACTTCAAGAAGGAAAGCAATCACTTTGTCGTTTGGAAGAGAGTCAAAGAGTTTTGAAGATAAAGACTTGAAGCAAGGTTTTACCTCACGAAAAACTTCTCTTGGATATGGTAACAAAAAAGGCAGAAGCTATGCGCACTATACAGCCAGAGGAGGCGCGAGGCGTATCCCACAATACAATGCGGTTTCTGATGTTATTCTCTGCTATCCGTCCTTAGCGCCAAATAGGAAGACGGTCTCTAACATGCAGCTGTTTGTTTGTTTCTCTGCTTTTATTTCTAGCATTGATGCTTTAGTTGACCTAAAAGCGACAGAGTGATGACGACGTGTGACTCAAATAATTGTTCATCTTGGTTACTTGAATTGTACTTTTTTTTTAGTTTAGTTTCAGTTTATTTCGCACTTTAAAACAAAATGTAACAATACAAATACAAGAAAATATAAATGAAATGTAACAGTGCAGGGAGGCCGGCAGCATAAAATGGTTATGAGGAGGCCTCCCTTCATAACGTGATTAACAATTCAAATAAATCGGATAAATAAGAAATAAATAATACAATGCTATCTACAATAATAAAAAGTAGTAATGAAAGTACATTAAATCTAGAAGGAAAACGTTGCAATAGGGTCAGGTAAAACATGCGAGTGCTAGACAGTCCTGTCGCACAGAACAGGCATACCAATAGGCATGACCCTTGATGAAAATTGCCTCTTGCCACCCACCAGCCAATCACTGAACGCCTTGTGGAAAAAGAGAGAAAATAGGAGGACTTACCTGGCCGAAGTACCAGTAACCCATCAGCTCATTGGCCAGTTTGAACGGCATGACCAGGGTTCCCACTGTGACGTCACTACAGGCCAGCGACACCAGGAACAGGTTCTGTACGCCCTTCATGGCCTGCGCATGTGCAAAAAAAAGATCTTTTTTTTTTACAATCCTTGGTCTATTTCAAAGAATTCTGACTAACTAGTGCATTCTACGCAGCTACGTACTATGAAAAAATACTTAACCGAGTAAATTCAAGCATTTTGATATAGGTAAATCGCATAACAATTGTGAAGTAGGAATAAGTTGGTCTCAGTTTTGGAGTGCTTTTTATTAATATTGACCAACATATATGTAGATTGATATAGGAGTTAGACATTATACTGGCCTATGCTAAGTAGCATTTTGCAACCTGGGGTCACCCTCAGAAGTGGTGATTGTATCAGTGCTTGTTTTTCTGTACTGTCAGTAGGGCGAGACACGATGCATATACTTTGTACCATGTACAACTGTTGTGCAATAAAGTTATTATGTATAATGAAATCTGTTTTCGCCACAGGCTTCTAGTATCCCCTTAAAATATGCACAAATCTGTAGGCGTATTGTTACCGTCTATGTAGGCGTTTTTTGATATACCATCTATGACGTTTAATATCGTCAGAGTCGACATGGCTCCAATGATTTTGAAATCCTAGTCGCCTCTTTCTTGGTCGCCCTCTGAAATTTGTCCTCTCCAAACCTTTTTATCTTTTGAGTGATTCTGTAAACATGCAAGAGAATCAAATTTCATGTTCACAAACACGATATACCTACATGTACGTTGTAACAGAAGTCGAGAAAAACATGTTATATAACGGTTCGCTAACCCTTTTTTCGTAGAAAACGGGACAATGAAATTATGAACTCTCACAACTATAAGCTCGGTTGATCTTACGGTCCTTTTGAATTTTCTATATTCGTTTCTCCTTTGACAGAAATGTCAAATTAACATTTGCTGTGCTAACCCTGGTTAGGTAGAAGCACGTATGGAGAAATCTGTATCTGTATAGCCGGTGTAACCGCTCTTTGGCGTAACACACCGGATTCGCAGGCACGCGGCGCGGCGGCAGCTAGCTATATCACACCGAACGACTTGTTACACTCAATCTTTGCACATTTAATTGCAGGCGTTGTTTTTAAAAGCTTTAAATTTCTAGTGATGATGCCCCAACTGTGCTTGGTGGCAATGAGTTCCACTCTACGATAGTTCTGGGGAAATACGAGCTTTTGAACACCTCAATTCTTGGTTGATAACTCTGATATTTGAAGGCACGACTGTTTCTTGTTCTTTTCTGGCCTGGAGAAAGAAACAAGGTCCCGTGTAATCTCCAAGCAGATCTTTCTGTGGCTGCAAAGACAGTATCGAATTGTTCAGGCAGTATCTATTTGCCAGGCAGTTGACATTTGCCACCCGAATACGGCGTAAAAAAAGATACCAGTACAAAAAAGCGCGATAAAAATACCTAAAAAATCAGCCAAAGCCTAAACCTCTGCCTGAAGAGTAAGTTGGAAAATTGCTCGCAGTGCGTAGCTTGTGTGAAAATGAAGTAAGAAAGTTTTAATGGTTCAAATTCAGCGAAATACTTTCTTTCTTTATTTCTTTCTATATTTTTTCTACCCCGTAAACTGTTCCTGTTTTGGTCTGTTGTTTCCACCCATCTCTCATTCCCATGACTGCCACGAAAAATTTGATTAGTTTATATTTTTGATTCTAATTCAATTATTCTATTGTTTTCCCTGCTGACATGATAATAGGGAAGTGCGTTTGATTGATAATTCAATTTTTCAATACTAAATACGTCTCCTGTATTTCCTTCATTACCCTTGTGACATATTCGTCGTTGGAAGCAGTGTCTGTTGTTTCCAGAACCGTGCTTCATCCAGAATCATGCTTAGGCACGGTTCTGGATAGTCCGCGCGTATCCAGAACCGTGCCTGGGGCAAATCTATGCTCTTGGATACTATCCAGATCCGTGCCTGATTCTAACGTTAACCCTAACATATTCAGGTATAGAACTACATAGACACGGTTCGGGATATAACAATGTCGTCCAAAGTCGTGAGCAGCAATAGAACCGGCACGGTCCGTGTGTGTGCATGTTGCATTCTGCGGACACCCTGTCCTTGGTGCTGACTTGTGTCCTTTTCTAACACTGTTGCACCGTCTTCAAAACGTTTGGGATTTTTCACAATTTTACTTTTATCATCAGATAGGCTTAACTAAAATGTTTTGTTTAATAATAATACAAAACGCATTCTATTTTCGTCCTCCACATATTAACACAGGGGGAATGGCGTAACCGGCCTTCGGCTTAATACACCAGCTTCTGTATCTGTATCTATGTAGCTGGTATAACCGCTCTTCGGCGTAACACACCAGCTTCTGTATCTGTATAGCCGGTATAACCGCCCTTCGGCGTAACACACCAGCTTCTGTATCTTTACAGCCGGTATAACTGCCCTTCGGCTTAACACACCAGCTTCTGTATCTGTATCTGTACAGCCGGTATAACCGCCCTTCGGCGTAACGCACCAGCTTCTGTATCTGTATCTGTACAGCCGGTATAACCGCCCTTCGGCGTAACACACCAGCTTCTGTATCTGTATCTGTACAGCCGGTATAACCGCCCTTCGGCGTAACACTCCATCTGTGCAGCTGTTATAACCACCCTTCGGTGTATACACACTAGCTTCTGTGTCTGTATATCATATTATCCGGTATAGCCGCCCTTCGGCGTAACACATCAGCTTTGAAGGTGCGCTGGTTATATTACAGTGAACGGACTAGTACTAGTATACAATTGTTTTCATAAAATTTGTGATGTTTCTTGGCGTTATTTAATATCTTTGTTTACAATCCGGCATATTGTTTTGTAAACTAATTCTATAGTAATTATAGGCACAGCAGGATTCGGCATGTTTTCATAACTTGTGCTATAATTTTAATACACATGGCGAAGTAATGCGTGATATGAATAGCATTTCCTACAAACAAAGAGAGCTAAAGTAATAACCTTCTTACATGATGTACAGTTACTAAAATTACACAAGATAATTTGATTAACATGACCGCATTCTATGAGTGTACAAAGCACAAAGCTCCGTCAATACATTGCAGAAAAGTGTCACTGTCTTTGTAGAATTGATATAGTCTAGGATCCGGTCCGCACAACATGCATATATAGCCTAGGGGGAGCAAGCTTAAGCGCATCCAATGCAATTTCAGATCGGCAAAACAGTCCCATTTACTGCCATTTCTTTGCACATTTTCATCATCATTTTGTATTTTAAGTGTTTGAAATAGCCCCAAAACAACCCACGGGATCGGGAGAAATCCCTTTAGTTTTTTGGTACCGTACGAAGACCAGCCTCTTTGGCTTCGGGAAGCGGCTGGAAAGAGTAGAATTGGCCAAATTGACATATGATATGCCAGGGGAGTTGGTCCAAGCAAAGAGAACAGTTTGCCGCTCCAGAACACTAGCCAACCGTTAGAGCCCCAAAACGTTCTCCTAGCGCAGACCTCCGGCATGTCATCTGTCTATTTGGCCAATTTCTACACTTTCCAGGAGCTTGCCAAAGCCTGGAAGACGCCAGTCTTCTTCTGACTCTTAGATTGTCACATTTTACAATGACCATACGATATATGTGACCAGTGCGTTCTTACCTTGGTCCCGACGATGACCACGCACACCAGCGTGTTCCCCAGCACGATGAACAGGGTGACTGCCCCGCCGCACACGGCGATGGCCGCGGTGGCTGCCGAGGTGTAGGGCGGCGGGATCTCGTCACTCGTCCCGTTCGCTACGGACGCCGTCCCGTTCACCATCTCTGAGTCCGTAAAGTTCTCAAACGTCACGTTAAAGTCTTCCATGTCTGTATCTGCCAAAGTCTAGATCTGGTGTAACAGTACGTAGGGTTCAAGTGCCGCTAACTGACCAAGTCAAAGGGGTCCTGGACCGTTTGGAGTAGTGGTTAGCGGTGTCGTAAGCTGGCTGCCCGGGTTCGGCACAAGTTCTAGATAGAGATGACTAGAGAAACATCATCGTTGGTACCTCCTAAGATGATCTGAACCGAACTGAATTGATGCTCGTACCATAAGATGCGCTCTCGCTTTCTGCGGCGAACTTACAAGATGACTAGAGATAGAGACGTCATCGTTGGCACCTCCTAAGAGGACGATCTGATCTGAGCTGATCTGATGCCCCTACCATAAGATGTGCTCTCTCTTTCTCCGAAAAAACTTACATCTCGTACTTAAATCGTCTTGAAGGAATCGTATTGACGAACACACTGACGTAAGGGTAAGAAGATCTTGCGGTAAAATCTAGTCATCTGCAACTGATGTGTCTTCTGGGAGGAAGTCTCGCAAGGATCATCGTCATCGGGACACAAAGATACCAAACGTGTCGAGGGACACGCCGGAGGATCGCTAACCAATTAGCGGGCCCGCAACAGACGCTGCCGGTTACGTAGGGCCACAGCAAGTAATTTTTATGGATGACATCAGCGCGCGCATTAATTTTCTCCCGATTGTGGTGGGGAAAAAAACAACAAGAAATTTGATCTTGAAAGTTCACCTGTGTTGGTAGAAAGAGGCCAACTACATCAGGGCATTACAACCATCCCTCAACAGAGACGGGGGGCGCCACAGACTTTCTGCAACCTATGATCCACTGCTCACGGAGTCACCTGTGTTATCTGCGTGACGTCACGGAAGGGGTGGATTGCTCATTCCTTGACAAAGACTGGAGTTGTACAGTCGAAAATTTGGGTGGGTCCAATTTTTGTTGTGTTGGACATTACAGTTTAATCTTGCTTCATAACAAGAAATTTTGTTGACCTCTGTGACAGTGGTCAGCATGCCAAAAATGGGCAAAGATATCTGTTGTCATGCCGGAAGGTGGATGGCTGATAAATATGAGGAGAGGAGACAAGACAAGGCTCTGATGTAATGTTTTGTCTTTTACTTTGATGCAATGATGTATTTCATTCTTTTTATATGTGATGTTCCCACTGAATCAAAACCATTTCAATCTACAATGATTGAAAACTTTTAAATTTGATTGAAAATGTAATGGATGTAATAGTTGGCAGCACACTTATAGCACAATATAGGTATCATTAAAACAAGGTTTATAATGTCAAAATTTGACAATGTAGGAATCTTGTTTTTTGGGCCCACCTTGTTTTATTTTCGCCCTGTTGCATTAAATTAGGAGGATGCGGAGGATGTCATCCATAAAACTTACTTGCTGTGGCCTTATACATGTGAGGACGGGATAAGGGCCATGCGGGTTGGCTAGGCGCCGTGCGCACGACGGAAATTAACAAGCGCGTTCTAAGGGCGTTCTTCAAAGTGATGCTAAGGGGTAGAAGACTTCAATGATGCCGGTATAGGGTATCACGACGCCCGCTTTACGCGTGGGAAAACGCCTGCCCACGACGCAATGCGACCGCGCTGTTCTTGATTGCTTTACTTGCGTTTTTTGAACATTTACATTTTGTTCTATCACCCTCGGGGAAGGAGATATCCTTCCGCGGGAAGGCTCGGTTCTCGGTCGTGTTTGTGTGTTCGCAGCTGTGAGTCACAGAGGGTTTGAATATTTTCGACGCCCCCTTTGCGCGTGGGAAAACGCAATGGGCCAATGCGACAACGCTGTTCTTGATTGCTTTATTTGCATTCTTGTACATTTATATTTTGTATTATCAATACATAGCCCGGCGATGTCGACCAATGAGAAGCCTCGTTCTATTTCCCTTCGGTTATCAGGCATTAACATCATAAGTGGTGAAAAATGAAAAAAGTGGTCGGTTATTCGGTGGTTTATTCGGTGGTTATCGCACCTGGCCAGGGATTATCTCATCATATACACCTCGGGGCAGGGCATTAACCCTTTATTATCTGTCTTCCACGGAGGGGTTGATGATTTTTGGTATATGGGTAGTTATTGGGGTCCAGCTTTCTGTATTTTCAGGTGTTAGAAATAAAATAATTCGTCATCCACGGTCTGCATGTAATGTGGTATCGTCCTAATCTCCAAGCAGATCCTTCGGTGGCAAGGTAGTATCCAGTAGCCAGAGGAGTGTCCCTTAGTTACCAATGGATCTGCTTGAAGATTAAGGCTAATGGATTATAACACACTACTTTCAGCAAGCTTAGTGGTTTTTAAGCCTGCATTGTGCATTATATCGACCGGTACAATGGCCAAGTGGGTAGAGTGCTCGCCTACATTCGGTAGGTCATGAGTTCGATCCCCTTTTTCCGAACTAAGTTCAATAGTGTTTGGCATACATTGCATCATGTGCAATTGACTTGCAATAAGGTTCATCTTCTTCTTTTAAACAGGAAATCACTATATCCTGCCCCCCATCCACCCCCGGTCGGATTCTGAGACCTTTGTCATATAAACACTTTCGGATGAAGCTTAAGTGATTCTGAAAAATCAAAGCCTGGGTGTCATCCGTTTTGTAACGGGACTCCTTGCATATCGCTACCTCAGGTACAAAAATATCGGATGGCTCCCGGCTAGTCATTTCCTGCGCCCTTTAATAATAAAATGCTTTATTCCTGTCCTTATATGTTTTAGAAGTTTGCTTGCAGCCACAGGAAATTGTTACAGCGTTTGATATAATCAAACGACAGGATATCCGCATAACCTTTTATAACCACCCGTCTCCTTTTCTTGTCATTGTGTGACCTATATAGCTACATCTATGTTTTATTTGGGGGGTTTCATGGATAATCATAATAGAATACACATATTTTTTCAATTTCTTTGCGTCTCCGGCGACCGATGCATTCCATGAACAAAAAAAAACAGTTTAAACCTCCTTGGTTTAACTGACTGTCATCATTCCTTTGAGTTTGGGAGCAAAAAATAACCTTTTGCCCAGAAAAACCTTTATATTTAGCAAATGTTGTTTGTCATTTCCTTACTAGCTCACTGTCACACGCAAACGCACTAGCTATTAGCTTCCACCAGGCCTTTCTAGGGGAATACGGATCGTAGAATTCGGCAAAAAAGAGTAAAATTGGCCAGGGGAGTCCGGACGCGGAAGGTTGTTTCTTTCCCTCCACGGCCAGTCAAACCCCAAGGCGGCCAAATTACCCTGGCAAATATTCTCCTATGTATAGCCAGCGTAGTTAGTCTGGTAGTTATAGAGACTATTTAGCTATAGCGTCAGCTGGAGTGTACATCATTATCTGTAGTGTACTTCTGTACCATGCCTATTAGCAAGAGTGGTTATTGTCGATGCTTATACCTTTTCCAAATTAGCTCACATGTGAGAGTTTTAGAGAAGCATCCTACGCTAAGCACATACTTCTGTGACTGAAATTTCTTTATTTATAGAGAGAGTATCCGAAATTATGGCATCACACATTGTGTGGGGGTGGGGAAGATTTGAGGAAGGCTACGAGTAGGTGAAGGAAGATTGCAAAAAGCGTTGCAATGGAGATTTCTGGCTCCACAACATACAATAATATTCATTTAATCGTCGCCATGGTAATGATTTTTATTGCCTTCCTTATTTATTGTACAATTCAATATGGCAAGTTGCTTTTATTATCAATATGGATGAGCAGTTTGGATGGGGTATATGATAATTGTGCTCACTCTGGTGTTTTTGGCGACGTCTCAGGGAGGAGCCTAATGGTACAGTATTGTGTGCAGTTTGCAAGAATTCTAGGAATGGTTCAGGCATTTTGTCCACAGGAATGGAATGTCCACAGGCATGTCTCTGACCCACATTTAAGCCCACATTCCTGGAAACCTTTGGGAAGACCTGTCTGTCCCGGATGGCCCTACTTTCTGTGACCCCGGGGCTCGTTCACTATACACTCAGGGGAGGAGTGTACTGTATCTGTCTAGACTTAACAGGTACCAAGTCTTCCTCAAAATCATGAAATGGTGGCAGTGCCATGCAAACAATAACCCTAACGGCAACCACCGTCGCCATGGCAATGTATGTTTTCATTGCCAGTCTTGTTATGAGTTGGTTATAGCACCCGACAAGACCTTATCACATCATAATATATTATACACCGAGAAACATCCTAAATTCAGTGTCTCTAATTAAAGACAGGCTTGTTATCTTCCCGCTTAATATAACATTTCGAAACAGACATTCGTGACAACATGATTTTGATCGTCCAAAAAGAAATTTATTGCCTTAAAATGGAAAAAGTTCATAACGAGATAGAAGTTGTTATAACTTCTCAACTGTTTGCTGGCATAAGCAGCCAAATGTGTCCTTTCTCATAAACAAAGTATGTAATTACTTTCATGTATTTTTCATTGTTAATTTTACATGATTAAGATCATAACTACACCCCCATATATAAAATACAACCACTCGTACAGTTTTCAACTGATTTTTGATTCCACAATTCTGTTGTTCAGTGTATTCTTGCAAAATTACAAGAAAAAAAAGGGTATCAAAAAATTGTTTACAAAGTCTTAAATAAAAACAGCCTCCCTGAGGCTTTTTATGACAACTATCAACTTTTACAGAACTACATGTATTACATTAGTACTTACAATGTACCATAAAACTATTATGCACTGCCTTGAGTATACCAATTTTAGACCACACCAATTAAATTTGTTGTTTCTCAGATTTTTTCAGAAAAAATATGAAGCAACAGGGCGAAATAAAAAAAAAGGCCAAGGCATCCCATGATAGCCGGAAATGTTACAATATGAGCCATGAAGTGAACATACCAAGCTGGTATATAATCAAAACAATAGATTTTGAACTTTTAATGAAACAAAATTGCATTGTTACATTGAAAAACTTGAACTTTCATTGAGCATGTTGCATTTGGAACAAAAAAAGAATTTTTTTTGCAAAAAAGAAAAAAATGGACAAGTACAGGGCAACTCCGAGAAACAACAAATTAAATTGGTGTGGCCTTTAATACATGTATTTGTTATGCATCCCTTTCTGAGAACTTTTTCCCGAAATATGGTCTCTTTTTACAACACAACTTAATTCTCAGAAATTGACCTTTTCTCTACTACAAAAAGTACTAAATCTACAAGTTCTATACAAATGTAACATTTCCATCCAATCCTCATACTTCATGGGAATACTTAAGATATTTGTAGAGTATCAATATACATATAGTAATCAAAACAGTTATTGAATTATCTACTCAAATACTGCACTTAAACATGTTTGTTATGGAAAAAATATAAAATGTATAAAGTTCAAGCAACATAAAATTGTGCTTGACAATTTCTAATAAACCTTTACAATATCACTCTTAGAACCCCCATCTTTTCGATACATACCCACACATTTTTTTACAATATTTGACACAAATACGGAATGTTCATGTGTCAGTGTCATACATTCACATGCAGCGTGCAAAATACCTGGTTGCCCAGTTGCCCCGGGCAACCAAATTTTACTTGGGGCAACCTATTTTTTTCACCTAGGTAGCCCAGTGTGCTACCTGAATTTTAAGAACCCCCCCGAAATCATGCCCACTTGGTTTGCACCACTGTATCCGGCAGATGCTTTTTAATTTAGGTATTAATGGCTATTACAAGTTAACTAAAGGCTGTTAGAAATATTGTCAAGGCTTAGGTATGTAACATTACTTAATTTGAGGAAAGTAGTACATGTAACTTATAGGTGGGGCAACCTAAAATTCTGATGGGCAACCTAATTTTTGCCACTGGGCAACCTGGTTCAAAAAAGTATTTTGTACACTGACATGTCATACATTGTAAAAAAGAGACTCACCTTTGGCCTTTGTGCAACAATTAAACTTTTCTCAGAACTAATTTCATCCTGGCATCATTACTATCAACTTAACATTGCATTTTCACTGTTTCTCATTGTCTTTCAAGGAAGAACCCATCTTTCAAGAGGGGGGTCAGGAATGTACAAAGTTAAAAAGAACACACAACAGATTGTGTATCTGTAAAGTCTAGGCCAGTACTTGGGAAGTTCTTTTTAAGACTTAATTTATATATAATAGAGGGCTTCATCAAGTATAGAACTGTTGGCCACTGCCATTTACTGTAAGGCACTCGGCAAGTACAATATATGACAACATAATATGTTCGAAAATATTTAGTTTTATAGATGTATACAAAAGAAAAGCCAGTCCTTTCAGCCCTCATAACCTTTGATCTTTAACCTATGCCCATGACCCTTGACCTTTCACCTAAGCCCATAACCTCTGACCTATACCTTTTTGGCAGAAGCCTTGTTACCCGGTAGCATGGAAACGTAAAGTTGGCGTCTTTTTTCTTCATTTTTGCTGTAATCTGGCGAAGCAGGATCGTTGATAACTGCTTCACCTGAATGGTGTTTTCTGTGGAAAGAAAAAAAAAACAGGAATAAGGCCACAGCAAGTAAATTTTATGGATGACATCCTCTGCAGACTCCAAATCAGGCGAAAAAAAAACAAGGCGGGCCAAAAAAAACAAGGTTCCTACAATAAAATTTTGACTCAATAATTGTACAAATGGTTTTGATTCAATGGGAGCATCACATATCATTGCATCAAAGTAAAAAACAAAACATTAAATCAGAGCCTTTCTTGTTTCCTCTCTTCATATTTACAAATGTATCTGCCATCCACCTTCCGGCATGGCAACAGACAATATCTTCCCATTTTCGGCATGTTGACCACTTTCAAAAGGCAACAAAATTTCTTCTTTTTTTTCCAAAATCAGGCTAAAATTAATGTGCTGGTGTTAAAATGAATACCTTTATTTATTGCTCATCATTTTACAAATGTACAACAGCAGGGGGAGCAGAAGCGCATCCTCCTGAATTAGGTACAATTTGTCACATTATTTGAAAAACAACGTTCACATTGAAAAACAATACATCTGAACTAACATATATACTAACATCTTTTTGGAAGATGTCAGCCAAAAAATTACTTGCTGTGGCCTTACTGTACAAAACTGGTGTGTGACACCTAAAGGAGGTTTGCTGGTTATGAAAAACAAACAAACAAACCTGTAACACATGATCCCGATCAGTAGTACAGTCAGGACTCCCACCACCACAGCCAGTGGTATCCACCACCATGTGGGCAGACCTGTGGAAATACAACAGAACAGGAAATGTTGAGATATTGTACGATGGACGGAAAACTGTAAAGGTACAAGTAAAATCACAACAGTTGCCTTTCCTTTTAACAGATGTGTCCATGTGATAGCATGTAATAAATATTGTTGCTCCTGCTTGTTCTCTGGCTCTCTAGGGCAGCTAGGACACATGCTTACATGTATAGCAATGTTTGAAGTAGTGTTCTAGACAGCGTCCATCTTTATGTCATTTGTCTTTCATGACCCACAAAAATTCTGCCCCATGAGACAAAAATTGGCATGTAAACTTCAAGTTGAAAAATGGTGCATCTGGCTTTTTTTAACATATTTCAGCGAACTTTTTGTGCCATTTGTCAATTGCATGTATGCAGGATAACTCGAAAATTTGTGAACGGATCTTATTGATATTTGGTACACACGTACATGTAGGTAAGCAGATGGGTGGGATTTGGTGGGATGACAGAAAAATTAGAACACTGATTTGAAATATTCCTTATGTGTTTACCTGAGGACCGTCCTGCAGTCTGCACCCCCTCTGTGGGTGGCATTGTGACGGTTGTCGTTGGGGCAGCCGTTGTTTGTATACAAGGACCCGTCACTAAAACACAACAACATTAACAACATTGTCACTACTAACATTGTCACCATTGTTTGGGGCTCATCCATGCACAACACTTGTACTGATCATGTCAAAGCAGAAGTCAGGATATCCTGGATGCCAGTCACATAACACGCTAGGATCAGAGTTAGCCAGCTTGCGAAGTACGGGATCAGGGCCTAACTGAGGACTGTGATATACTAGTAGTTTCCTTGGGGGCATGTTGGCCCTGGAGCCAAGGAACTGGCCTGTGTGGGCCCTGGAAACAGCCTGGCACCCTGGCTAAAGTCAGGAGGGGCAAGCTCATCATATATTTCTAACATTTTCTTTCAGCAAGGCATGAAAACTTTGATTATTGCAGTACAAATTTTCTTCTCTCATAACTCTTGACAAGTGCTGAAAATGGTAGATTTTTAAAACACATCTATGGCCTATTATATCACTGCTTAACATAAAGCTTCTTCCCCCCCCCTTCCTCAAATTGTTTAAACCTTTACTCAATGCCAATACCAGACGTACCTGTTAAAGCGACCATGCCTGCTACACATTCACAGCGCCGGTTGTCATGGTTACAGTACGCTCCGTCAAACTGACAGTGGCTGTCGTCTGCACAACCTTCCCTCGGGAAGCACAAAACTCCATCTCCTGTTTACAAAAAAAAAATAATTTGAGCTGGACTTATTCCTTCAATAAGATGGATCTATAGACTAAACATTTTTTACATCATCATATCTGTATCTTCCAGTGCAATTACCTTTAGGTATGTGTTGGCAAATAAAGTTTATGGGTAAAGCAGGTAAAAAAAAGAACAGATTCTAAGTTGGCTTAAGCAAGTTTTCAACATTGTTTTTAACATTTTTCTGTTAAATATAAAAATGTAATTCAAGGTAGATACAGCAGTTTTGTTATGAGGCATTTCACCTTAACCTTTACTTTTAGCATGCCTCAGTAGACAATAAGTAGCTATATTTGGCAACCAATTTTCTATTTGATTATGGGGTTAGGCAACAGGGAGAAAATTAAAACATTACACACATTTCCAACAACAGTTAAACACATCCGCTCGGGAAATAGTACAGTATGACTGACCTTCGAACCCGTCCTGACAGACACAGCGACCCTCACTGCAGGTGCTGTACCTCCCACTGCATGCTGGGATACACCACTTGATGGCGGAAGGTCTGTCCCGTTCCACACATGCCGTCTCTGTCACCCTGGTTCCATCTGTAATGGCAGCAGATCATTATAGCTATGTAAAAGTAGTAGCAGTAGTAGTAGCAGTAGTAGTGCATGTAGTAATAGTAGTACTCATAGTAGTAAATGTAGTATCAAATATTAGATATATATATAGAATACAACACGGGGTATTCCGTATCGCCCGAGGTATCGGCCCGACCACAGGTCGGATCGCCCGCAGGCCGGAGGGCGATCCGACTCGTGGAAGGGCCGGGACCGAGGGCGATGCGGAATACACCGTGTTGTTTTTTATTTATATCATACCCACCCAAGAAAACACGCCTTTCAATGCAAGATGAGCCAAAAGTTGGTGCCACTGAACCCTAAAATGCAACAACATCAATTCCAAAGTCCGGATTCTGTATTCGAATTTTCGAAAGGGGCGCACGCGGTTAGGGCGAAACGCGTTCGAATCGTTTTATGGAAGACATGGAAGCGTTCGATAACGGGTTCCGGGCCGTACCGTAAAGTACGGCCCGGTCTGGAACCCGTTATCGAACGTTATCGCGGCCCGGGTATGATATAATACCCGGTATACTGCTACAGGGGTCCCTGACACAGGGATGGGCAGCACTTTGGCTGGTCTTCACACCACAAATGACTGAGCTCTTTTAAATTGATGAAGCTACCAAATCTTTCCCGAACATTCACATGTTTGCAGATAAAATGAAAACTACATTGTACTACTATCCTAACATCATTCCGAAAAACCCACACATGAAAGAACAAGTGGTCTCCAATAGCTACACTTAATTAACTCCATTAAAACTTGAAAAGTGCAAAATAAAAAGAGACAAGGCAAACATTCAATGGACATGCAGCCACTCTCTCATTGGTCAAACTGCTAATTGCCATGTCATCATTGGCTGAACTGCTAAATTGTGAAGGACAGTCAGGATCAGTTTAGTACTAGGAACTGGTCATGTTGTCACCTTGATCCTCACACCAGACCTCTCGGATGTCCTGGTCATCCCATGGACCAGTTCTCCACCGGTACACTGGACACACAGCCTTTGAGTTAGGACAGGACCTGTGATAAAGTACAACGTTCAATTGAGTACAAGTAGGCCATCTTGTGTTATTTTTGAGAGAGGATAAGTCAAGACTTAAATTATGCTTTATGAGTTTCTAATTTGCATAATTAACTCATAATTTGCATCAATTTTCACTACAGTCTAGAATAGGGCTGCGTACCTTTTCGTAACATCAGGTACAGGTACAGGTACAGAGGTTTAGGTCCAGGTCCGGACCTGTACCTGTACCTGAAAATTCATGCGCGTCACATGTTCTACTGAAATTCTTCAATAATGACAGAAACATGAATAAAGTGTTGACAATTTGTCCTGTATCTTTCAAAGAACATCAAATATAACCCTGGATGATATAACTAGGTTTCCTATCTCACTTCTCACTAGTTCTCAGAGACGGAAACTAAGGTAAATCTCTTTATTTTAACGCTGGATGTTCATTTTCTTGGCAGGCCTCCTTGTGTGTAGTGATCAAGTTGAATTTTTGTTCTGGTCCAAAAAACCGGTCCACCGACGTTTCGGTTTTTCGACCGGGTACCGGTCCAGGCAGCCCTAGTCTAGAAGATTAAGAAAAGCACTCTCAAAAGTATAACCTTGCCTTAAGCTCTGTAATTAAAAGGTGCTAAGTGTACTAATTAAAAACAATCAAAATTGTAACCACACAAACTTCAGACAAGCTGATCAAGCCCCAAAACAGCTAACACAGTGAACTACTTGCCACAAGAGTTTCACAGTACGAATAATTTCTTTTTTCTATCAGGAAATTTACCTTATTTGTATGAGCTCCTCTGCTTCCAGTGGACAGGCCTGCCCCAGGCCAGTTTCAGGACGGATAATGGCACGTGTTCTGGCTCTCATGGCCGCGCTGCCCGAATCCGAACAGTCCCGCTGGCACGGTCCCCACTTGCTCCAGTTCGTCATCTAACAAAAAAATCAAGTAACTTTTCATATAGCATCAACTATTTTCTATCAGTGACTGAGATTATTTCTTTAGCCTGAAAGCCAGATACCTGAGTGCAATGGCCAAGTGGGTAGAGTGTTTTGCCTTGCACTCGGTAGGTTGTGAGTTTTATCCCCGACAAAGTCATACCAAAGACTTTAAAAATGGTACTAACTGCTTTCTCTGCTTAGCATCCAGCATCTATGAGAAGGAGTATGAGAGTTAAACACACACCACTGCACAACCCCAAGGGCTACATAACTGGAGATCATTGTTGCCATATGTGACCATGCCAATGGTTGCAGGGAGGATCTTTTAATTAAATAACTTAAAAAGCCATCCTGTTCTAAGCTGTAACCTGATTATTTGTTTGCCAATTTACAGGTTTCTCACCTGACAGTCTCCAGGACAGGGGCTGCCACAGCTCTGACTGGTTTCTATGTCCAGTTTAGTCCGGTTCACACTGGATAGAACCAGTTGGACCTGGGAGGGGTCCAGGCTGCTGATGTCACCTGTAAAAGGTAGGCAACATATGTTAAAAGAGGTAGTGGTAAAATGTTCGACTTAGAAGTAAATGTATGTCTTGAAAAATTACAGATAACAACGCCAAGATGGATTCTCTCATAGCCATGGCATTGAAGAGATAAGAATACAATGTTCTAGCCAGCATCTGCCTTTCCATTATTTGACAGAATTTTGCTGGTCAAGACGTACAAGAGTTTTGCCTAGACTGTCATCTTTGACGGGCAAAAGTCAGCGAGTAAAGAGATGGAAATATGTCATTCAACTAAGCTGTCTACTAGCAGAATTTGAGCCTCAAAATTCAGGAAATAGCATTTCAGAGCATCAAGATTTCCCTGGACCCTCGTAGGATTGTCGCATTCACTGCTCAACATAATATTACATAAAACAAAATTGGGATGACGGAGAAAATTTTAAGCTGGCTAGAACAATGAAACGATAGATTATCAATGTGGGGTCGTGTGACGTAATGGCAAAGCATTCTGCTTGGAACCAAGAAGTCCTGGGTTCAAACCCTGCCGATCTGCATTTTGACTTTCCTGGATGGAGGCCTGGTGAACCCCATCCCGTATTAGCCACAAAAAGGCAGCAGAATCTTCAGCTAGTTGAAGGCGGCTGCCTCAAGATGAAAGAAGAAGATTTCCATACCTTCTACCAGACAGTAGATTTCATCCACCATCTTGCCGTCGCTCCTGTGACAGTTGACGGTGCGTGTTCTCTCCCCGATACCGCAGCCCTGACTGGCCACGCTGCAGTCTCCCCAGTCTCCTCTCTCCCAGGAGTGGGTGTAACACGGGGCAGGGTCACAGGGCAGGGTCTGGACAGGACACCAGGGGAAATAAACCAAGTTAAAAATCAGGTAGGTAAAAAGATTCCATTGTATACATTTTCTTATGTTGTTGCTGTGTACTTTGTCTTTGATTTAGACAAATCATGGCAATAATAAACTTCCAGTCTTTGCAGTAATGACATATTCTTTTGCACCACTGAAAGGAAACTACGTGTGGTACTTCTACTACTATTGTGTTATGAAACACACATTCACATACTCACTTGTTCAACTTGAATTCCTACATGTACGCTGCTTGCAAGCCAACAATAGGATCAAACGATTGTGGTATCTCTATGGTCATATCAATCCAACATCAACATAATCAAAAACTTTTAAGGATGACTTTAAATAGTTTGAGGTCAAGATTTTAAATGAAAGACTTTTCACGATTTTCTGTCAAGTTTCATTTAAAAATGTGCTACAATTCAGAATGTTCCAACTCCTTCTCTTAAGATTTTTTAAAAATCACCTGTGTACGAGTAATCTCATTAGGACACGGTCTCCCAAGTTCGTTTCCTTCCTCCGCGATTTCTCGTGTTCTGTTCCGGTACGCCAAAAGTCCGCAGGCGCCACTACAGGTGGACCAATCAGAGAAGGCCCCCAGGTTGCAGTCCACGGGACATTCGAGTTGGCAGGGCTCACTTCGGGTGATGTTGGTGTCGTCGCAGTGTGTCAGCGACATCAACATGCCGTCATCTCGGACACAGTTCACGGTACGGTGCCTGGTGCCTGTACATGGAAGTTGTGTTCATTAATACTACAGAATTTAAATGAAGAGATTACACTCAAATCAAGCTGCCCATGTCTTAGGTACATGTAAGACATCATCATCATCATCATCATCGGTCGACCGTACTGGTCAGGGTTATACCGCCCTGTACGAGGTGGCATACCCTTTCGTTAGCTTAATACAAGACGGGGTTCGCCACGCCTCCGTCCGGGTGATGATGTAATCACCATGTGTGGTGATGTAATCACCATGTGGCTGATACGGAACAGAGGTTCGCCAGGCCTCCATTCAGGCGATTTGAAGTGAATCACCAACTCCATACAGTAGTGTTTGTACCATCGCACACTGGGGCATGCCCCTACTCTTCCTCGAAAGGTGTAGTGGGATCTTTAACGTGCGTGGGGTGTGGCTCTCCCCAAACACGGGACCTCCATTTAACGTCCTATCCAAGGGACGTCCCTAGCCGAAGCTAGGTACTCATTTCCACCTGAGTGAAGTGAGGAAAGTCGTGTAAAGTGCCTTTCCCATTGTACATTGTATGTAAGACATACAATGTACATTATCTCTCAAATGTTGTACAGTGCAGAGACATTGATGGAGTTAAAGTGTTAAGTTTGTACATGTAGTAAAATGTAACTGCAGAACAATTTTGGTCTTTTATTTTCAATGAGCAGCTTGAACAGGGCTTATTTGTACTTATATCTACATGTGTGCATATTGAACTTTTGTGCAATAATACCAGTGGTCTACCTTGGTGAGGATAGTACATGTACTAGCTGCTGTAATGCGCTCACAAAAGATATAGAAATGAAGATGGGTACTGCTCTAGGTACTAAAATGCACTGCTCTATGTAAGTTTAACTTAACGATGATAACAGTGATATTTGTGGGTGAAAATTGAAATAGATATGTATCTTGAATAGCACATAATTTACAAGTCCAAGTATAATAAGTGTACTATCAACTGGCACCACTACATACTATAGTCATGTGTTAGTAGAATATTCCTCAATCAGTGACGATTTGAAAAGGTCACTGATTTAGGAATATTCTAATTGTGACTGATGAACCTCTTCAATGATAGACACGTGTTCAATGAAAACCAGCACTTTCTGTACCTTTTCCACAGACATCCCCAGAAGGTACCATACAGTCTGTCCATGATGACACCTGTACTCTGTACTGGTGCTGGCAGTCTGTTTTACAGGACATCACTTCTGTCGTGTTACTGCACTGTCTGCCCTCAGGCACCGGACGGCGAACCATCTCTCTCGTACGCGTCTTGTAGCCGCCGCCCTCGGAGCACGGTAAGGAACACTCGGACCAATCAGACCACTCCGAGAGGACACAGTCACCTATAGTGTATGATTACAGAATTCTTATCAAACAATTCATTGATGAAGGTTAGACAGCCAGGTAAACAATACTCATAGGAAATTCAAACTCTACTACTGGATAAATTACAGAAATAATTTCCGGACGTTTCAAGTGACATCGACAACTCTTCTTCGTTAGTGACGCTGAAGAAAAGTGGTGGATGTCACTCGAAACGTCCGGAAAGTATCTCCGCAATTTATCCAGTAGTAGTGTTTGAATGTCCTATGAATATGTACAATTTTATGCTATTGACTTCTTCAAATAACATCACCTCTTTCAGTCGATACCTACATGTACACGATAGATTCAAAGTGATCAATTACTAGTATCTACACCTTATGTCAATGAAGGTTAGACATCCAGGTAATATCATACCATAGTAACTGTTACAGTTACTCAAGCAACTAAAAATTTTCCCCACTTTAATTATTGCTGTAAGTTATGCTTATATACATTTATTATCAAATTTTAAGGCAAGCTCACTCTTTCTTAAGTTATTATGAGATCTTACCATGTATTTGAGAAAAAGTCTGAGACAATAACTTATCAGGTACATTCAGCATTTGCATGTTAAACATCTTTCAAATTCATGGTTTTAGTTTTTATCTACTTTACCTGGGCATGGAAGATCACACATCTGGACAGTCTGGGGGATGGGAGCGCTCCATTCACACTGGGTCACCTCGAAGTAGCCCTCCCCCAGGGGACAGTGGTACGACCTGGTTTGGTAGCCCTCCCCACATGTACCCCTCACTGCACAGGCACTCCACTGGTGGGGAACAAGTAGTACATATGGTACATATAACAGGTACATGTACATCAAACCTTCAAATTGTTATGGAGACAGAATTCTATAACTATAAACTTCTTACCGGCAAGCCTTCTACTAGTACTCCGATCCTTCTCAAGCTGAAATACTTGGGAGCCTGTGTCCATAAGGCTCAAACTTATGCATGGTTATTTTTAAGTCTTCATTTTGTCATTTACCATCTAAGATGAACTATTGTTCGAGCTACGTTGATCAAGGTTAGACATCCAGGTAATGAGAATACACAAGATAAAAGTTACTCAAGCAAATCTTGGTCTTCAAACTCTAATCCAGTTGTTTGAGCAACTTTTTTCTTGTGTAATTTGTCAAAACTGTCAAAGCTATTGTGATGATTCAACAATAACTTAATCTTTTCTCTTACATTTTGCATTCATATTTATCGTTAATTACGGTAGTTGGATATGAAAACAAAAAATTACTTCAGAATCTCATTTTACCTCTATCAAAGTCAATGAGAGTATCAAGCAATACTACTTGTAATAATACTACATGTACCTTAGCACTAACATTGATAGCACGTCGGCAGAACGTACTATGCAAACCCCTGCTTTTTCACAGTTTTTGTTGGATTTTTGGTCAACGTTGCATCCAAATTTTACCTATTGCAGACAATATCTTTTCGGACACAGGATTTGGAAACTACAGACAGGACGACGTTATATGAGAGGTTTTGCCGAAGTGCTATGCACAATACATAACAGGCTTTTGCGCAGGTGCAGAACGATCTGCCAATGTGCTAACATTGATTGACTTGCACCTATTCCACCTACCTCTGATACCTCCCACTCAAGGTCATCACATGACCTTAGCGAACAGGTTGTGGTCTGCAGCAGGGCGGGACACGGGCGGCCGCCATGTTGGGGAGGGCGCACAACTTCCCGCGCTCTGTTCTTCGTACCTACAATTTGTTTCACAAAGAAATTAGATGTGTCTCAGTGTCTCAACAAGAAACAAAACTGTTCTTTTATTCACATTCAGTGATACAATTTAAGATGGCCCTTGCTCTCTTTAGTCCAATGTATGTGCCACAATTGTGGTCAAAACTATCCAGAAACCATGTCCAATGAAAAAGAGCTCATTCTTTTGACATGTCATTATTTTAGAGGTTTGTAGTGAATATCATTCATAACAAATTGCACTTTTGAATTGTTCTCGCAATGACAGGAAAAAATCAGTGCATACACATGTAAATCTGCCAACAAAAATGAGCTGCTCCTTCTTTTTCTAAATCATCATATTGGTGATTTTTAGAGGTTTTTAGAGACTGTCATTTGTAAAACTAAGTTTGCATGCAGCCTAAAGTAACAACTACCCTTACCATTTTGTAATTATGTATGTCTTTTGTCATTGTGTTTTACTCTTGTTTTATGTGTAGAAGTGACAGAGTAGAAGGCGTCATTAAGCAACTATGCTTCTTGCCTGATACTCAACAAATATATGTGAATAAAAAAAAACTACCCTTACCTAGCCCACAGACATGGGAACACAGGCTCCACTTGGACCAGTCAGAGACCTGACAGTCTATGGGACAGGGCACGGCGCAGGGTCGGCTGGTGAAGGGGCGCAGAGCCTCGTCACACAGGTCAGACTCCACCTGCTGTCCATCACTCCTCACACACAGGACCACCGCGTGCTGCAGGCCAGGCCCACACATGGCTGGAACAAGGAGAAGATTATGTCCATAAGGTTACACACAAGGTAGGACATATAGTCAATCAATTACATTATGTACATGTAGAATAATCACTCCTAACACACAGGACCACTGCATGCTAATGATAAACTCACATATATGAATACTGTATCAAATACGACAATTTTGAGAGTATGGAACTTGAAAATTAGGCAAACTTGCAAATACATGTACCCTAGATTTCTTTTTAGTACATGTATAATGTACACTAGTTGACTAAGATATTGTGGCCCTACAATAATCTGATTGCTTCTTGGCTCTCTTTTAAGTTAGATATACTGTAATTCGTGTTTTTGCAGTACTTTAATGTTTGCAACTATTGTGGTCACTTCTGTACCGTGAACTTATCATTAATGTGAAAAAATAATATTATTCGTTGACTTTCTTTTTTCTGCACCTGCCGTCACTGCGAATGTACAGGTCCGCAAACATGTCCATTTTTCTCGAACTACGAACTTTTGCTACCACGAACATGAAGTGATTTATAGTATATCCACAAAGGTTGAGCCACGTTTGGGATTATGTTCTCGCTGCAAAAGCGCCACCTACATCGGCTACAAATAACAGCAAGAAGCAGAACTCCAGTCAGAAACTCTGAGGAAGGTGTCTGATAGACACCGAAACATCAAGCAAGGTAAGAGGCAATATTGGTTTTGTTAAAAAAAAAATCAATATCCTATACTATACCAACCTTCCAGAAGTTGTACACTGACTATCAAACTCTGAGCTTTATTTTATTTTATTTTTATTTTATTTCTGTTTTATTTGTACAAGGTAGAGACCTCAGTGCTATTTAAAACACTGCTTTTCAGGAATGCCCTGTACGTCACAACAAGTTATGCATGAAAACAATGAAACCAACACATTAAACAATACATAAAATTACAAAGCAACCAAGCGTCAAAACAAAATCGTTATCTGTAAATCAGTGTCGTTAAGCCAGGCCAAGGTCAGAGGTCAGCAGTGTTGTTTCAGAACCTTCTTAAACGACAGGTAAGACGTGGCCACTCTAACTGTGGCAGGTAGGCCGTTCCAGGCAGATGCTCCCCTATACGCAAACTTTCTTCGGCCAGATTCCAGTCAGACTTTAAGACATTATGGCAAGAGCACTACTTCGTATACCCCTTACCATCTTTGTGGGGTATGCAGCTTCTCCAGGGTCCTGTTTCCCAGTTGTATGTCAGGCAGGGCTGCCCATTGCACTGTGCCTGCTCAACAAGGTCACTGTCCTGGATGTGCGGGCACTGCTCTTTCTCTGTCTGGCTCGGGTCTAGTTTGAACAATAAAGAAATGATGAATAATAGTACAGTTCTATCTTAAAGAAAACTAGAAAGGTAATACTAACAAAGGAAATGCATCATGTTTACCTTCGCATCAATGTCTTGGATGGCAGTTCAGTACCAAGGACAGTGTCAGAATTGAAACAAGGCATCAAAGTTGTCAATGGCAGTTCAGCACTAAGGACAGTGTTAGAACTGAAACAAGGCATCAATGTTGTGGATGGCAATTCAGCACTAAGGACAGCGTTAGAACTGAAGCCACTGAAACTGATTTTTAAGGTACTTTTTCATACTGCTACTGAGAGAAGTACTTACCCAGGTTGACGATGTATCGTGTCCTGACCATGGTTCCCGGCAAGTCCCCACACGTCTGGGAACAGGGTCCATAATCTGACCAATCAGAGAGCACACAGTCTCCAGGGCAGGGGATGAAACAGCGCTTCTGGGATGGTGGCGGATTGGCCAGCAACTTCTCAACACAGACACCTTCAAAAACATTTAAATGTATGAATCTTTATTGCATGCACATTCCCTGGGGGATAAATGCAGGGATTGATGGAAATACAATGTACTAGAAAGGAATTACAACAATAAAAGCTAAAAAAAACTTTTAAAGTTTAAGATTGCCTCATGTAACTTCTTGACCTCTGACCTCCACTTCAACTTTTGACCTCTATTGAGTTTGACCTTGGAATGGCTAAGACTTTGAATTATGAACAATGACTTTTGTTTGAAACATTAGAGTTTATTTCTCTCTACTGTATGTTGTCCACTTTTGTTGAAGTTGAAAAAAAAATGAAAGAAAAACCCAGCCATTTTGTGATGAAATAAAGACATCACTCTATGTTTGTTATTCATTTTGTATTGTTATTATGGGTTCACCACACCACGAAGTGGTGGTGAACCCATATTGCTTTTTCTGATGTTTCTTCTCCTCCTTCTTCTTCTTCTTCTTCTTCTCCTGCCATTTTTTAAATGGATTCAGCTTCTTCATTTTAGGGCCTAAGGTCCTGAAATTTGGTATGGAGGTACAGTGGGCAAATACCCCTAGGCATTTTTTAAATTTTTGTGATACAGGCTTTTAGAATGGTTTTATTTGAGTTTTTTGGCTGTGTTATAGCAAATGTATTACTGTGTTAGTGTGCCGTGTTTACACGTCTGGGCATGAGTCATCACAATGGAATGCAGGGCATCAACTAATAGGCATGCAGCTTTCCTCTATACTTCTTGCTGATTGGCTGTTGGGATTTAACTTGATTAACACCTGCACAGAGCATTTCCACCTGCACAGAGCATTTCTTGCTGATTGGCTGTTGGGATTTAACTTGATTAACACCTGCACAGAGCATTTCCATACTGACAGTATGTCTTTATTCAAGTGTTTTGGTAGGTATTTCAAGCTTTTCTGCTCCAGCATTGGAATGCGGGGCATGAACGTTTTTTTTTTTTTTTTGAAAATCAACAGTTTGCATTATGCAATTAAAAATCCTAACCAATAAAGTAGGGAATAGCTATCCAACTGTTGTTTTAGTTGTATGTTACTTCATATTATAGTTATATCAATGTAAATCATTGTTTTCCCTTGTGTTTCTCATTCTTTCCCTGCCATGTCGTAAAATGTGGTGAACCCATCGCTGTATTTGCTCCAAAGCAAATATTGGCCTTTCTAGTTTCAACCTGTATTTTGTATGTTTTATGTTCTTGAGCAAAGGATCACATAAGCGCGTAAGCACTTACCATCCAATGCTTGTAAATACCTTCAAGTAGTACATTGTACACAGTATTCCCAACATTTTCTTTTCAATTTTCTAGATTATTTTACACATTGTACAATATGACAAAATATCCTACCATGGTCTGCAGTGACCCCATCATTTCTCCCACAATCCACCTTGCGTGTCTGATACCCCGGTCCACACTTCCCAAACAGAGCCTGACACTTGCCCCACGGCTCAGGCGACCAATCGTAGGTGTAGCAGGGAGGGAGGTTCTTACAACGACGCCGCTTCTTCACGATACCTGGAACAAGGTAAGAACATTGTTTATTTTTATTTGCACATACATACAAGACAAAAACAATACAGAAGTAAATATAGTAATCGAACAAAACAGAATATGAAATAATTAACCTAAACAGAATGGATGTGCTGGAGGAGAAAAAAACCTCAGGGCTTATTCTTGTCCTCCCCCATTTCAAATAAAAGCATAATAATGATGATAATAATAACAACAATAATAAGGGTAAATAAGCAACATTAGGTCCAATCATTTTGATGTCAAAACAAAAAAGCTAGGGTGCAAAATTCGACTGATGTTTGAAGTGTAGTACTTTTTTTTTTAAATTATATTCCACTGTTGTTGTTTCTTTTAGATTTAGAGAACACTGTTCTTTCTCTGTGTATCAAATGCATGTGCAATACAAATTGTTTCAAAAGGCCAGCAAAAACTTTGAGTAAGATCCAGCTATTACAGATGTTGGCATTATGATATTTCTAACTTACACTGGAAAAAAACTCAATACAAAATGCAGGCAAGAAACGTACCATCCTTGCTGTGAGGAGGACATGCCTTCCCACCGTTTGCTGCTACTCGAAGGATCCTCTGAGTCCTGTGTTAACAACAGTCATAAATGTCTAAATTCTTCATGTAAGTCATAAATGTGCTAGCAGAATCACTACATGTCAGTAATTTCTATTTTCAACAAGCTTCAGTATCCATCTCAAGAACTAGAAAATTATAGTAAAAGATTAAACTTTATTCCAACATACAATTTACAGAGATCAAATTACTATGATTACTACCAACACAGATGAACTTTCATGATAACTAGAAAATTACTTTATATCAAAAACCAATGAATGTAAACATACATGTAGAAGACCTTGTAAATCTAAAGAAGTAGAAAGCATTGTACTACATGTAGTTCAAATATTTACACCAACAATGCAACTAGCATCCTTACTCAAAAGTTTTATTCAAATCTATGTCATGCAATGTTTGATAAAAACATATTTGAACAAAATTTACATGTCGACAGCAGGGAAACGTACTTGAATTTCATGGCCGTGTCTCCACACATTTGGCTGCACTCGGACCAGCCGCTGAATTTGCTGAGCATGCAGTCCTCAGGACAGGGTACTGAACAGGACTGCTGGCGGGGGGGTTTGGAGTCTGCGTCACACAGTTCCTCATCTACTGCAGAACCTACATGTATACAGTAAAGGTAACGTAAATGTATCTGTATAGCCGGTATAACCGCCCTTCGGCGTAACACACCAGCTAAGTAAGGTAAACTTTAAGGTATATTCAAGCAGTCACCTCAAGTAATAACATGTATCATTGTCAATGAATACAAATACTGTGTAGATATGTAAAATATTTTGCATTTGGGAATGCATCTATTGCAGCAACACCTGTGCTGTAGTGCAAAGTGAACCAGTCAGAATTGCCTTGAGGAACGTAACAGACGGTCACCATAAAATGAGTCTTTTTATTCAGTGACTTACCAACCCAATTACACTATTCACGAATACAAATGAAAGGTTCAAGACTAGAAAGGCAACATTTGCAAAGCAAATGCATAGTGTTCATCTTCATCTAATCATCACATGGTCTAGCCTAACAAACTATCGCTGTATATATGGTACAATGTAATAGAGTCCAACTTAGGCAACTCTGTCCTGCAACTTCTACATAATGTAATCTAACACCACAGGGTGTCTGCTGCAGCACCAGTTACCATGGTCTGGTCCAGGTCATTGACCATACATGTCTGGAGAAGAAGAAGAAACAGGGCAAAAAACTGTAAAGGTAACATTTGCAAAGAAAATGCATGTTTACCTTCACCTGGTATAACCCAACTGATTATTGCCCTGTTTACTTTAACTTAAAGTCTCAAGATACATTCATATGTTTGGTGAGCAGGCTCTCCAACTCTGTTCTGCTGCATAGGTTACCATGGTGACAGACATCTGATCTAGGTTATTGACTTTATTTGGTTGGGGGAAGAAACTGAGCAGATACAACATGTGACATATGTTTTACTTCTGCAAACTTAAACATAACAAGATGTTTCACATAATATGTAGTACCCACCTGTGTCCTTCCCACAGTAGACGGGCCGTGTCTGTACACCGCTGTGGTCGCTGCAGGACTGGTTGACAGACGTACAGCTGCCCCAGGGTCCCACCTGCCACAGGTACGTGCTGCACGGCACCTGCTGGTTACACACACGTCTCTGCACCAGCTCGTCAGCTGGCAAACACTCCGTGTCATTTCTTGAATAAGCTGTGGATAAAAAGAAACAAGTCTATTGGGTCGTTTCTGGAGTAAGCTGCAGGCAGAAAAAAACAAAACAAGTGTATTGAGACCAAAAGCAATGTAACTTTTCCACTTCAAAATAAACAAGGGTGGAACTTTCGCAGAAATCTTGGTGATGTTTGAAATTTAGTACAGAAGCTGTATACCTTAGACTATATCATTTTTTATCATATTCCACACTTGCTGTTTGTTTGTTTTTTGTAATTTAGAAAACATTGTTCTTTCATGAGTGTATCAAACACAAGTGAACCGGGTTAATTAAGATCAAAAGTCATTCCCCCAAATGAGGATTTTTAGTACTCTCCAAGCAGAGGTTAGACTCCAGCTTATTTTGAACATCACTTTATGTGTTTTTGTCAGAAACAAGTACACTCAAAGCTGACATACAGAAAGTCTGACAAAAATGCCTAAAAAGCTGTTCAAAACAAGCTAGAACTTCTGGTGGGAGAGTAGGATTTTAGAGATCCTATACATTTGTATCAAATTGAGGAGAAATTACAAATTTTTTAGACAAATAATACTTTTCAGATGCTAATGCCATACCTAGAACTTGTCTGATCCGAGTCTGGAATCCTCCTTTAACTCCACATGACACGGAGCAGTGTCCCCAGTCTGACCACTCTGACACCACACAGTCACCCGGGCAGGGAACCTAAAACATTCACAGAGACATTATAAAATACATAGCATCAATGTCTTGGATGGCAGTTCAGCACTAAGGACAGTGTTAGAACTGAAGCCAGGCATCTATGTCTTTGATGGCAGTTCAACACTAAGGACAGTGGTAAAAATGAAGCAAGGCATCAATGTCTTGGATGGTAGTTCAGCACTAAGGACAGTGTTAGAACTGAAGCAAGGCATCAATATTTGGGATGGTAGTTCAGCACTAAGGACAGTGTTAGAACTACACTGGCCCATACTTTGACATTGAATTCTGAGACAAACGTAAATTCGCTCTCTACTTTTAAGCTTTGGCACACTGAAGCCCACACTAAATACACAAGTATAGTGTATGTGTAGGAACTAACTTGCTGCAGTGAAAATACTTATTGATTTTAATCAACAGGAATGCAGAGAGCTAAAATATACAGTCTGCTAAAAGGAAATCTAAAGCTTCTCTCATAAACAAGCTAATAATATACTATCTATAAGTGTATCTTTATGTTTGCAGTTCTAGCAGTGATGAGATCTTACCAAACTCATTAAACCAGAAATACAGTGTGTACATGTGCACTCTCTTATGTTTACATACAGATTTGAATAGACTCAAGGTACATTGTGTAAGAACAGTAAATTAAGACAGCAGAATGTATTGTACCTGCCCAAAACTCAGATTTTTTATGGTTTTCTTTTGATGTTTGGTCAACATTGCATCAGAATTTTGTCAATTGCAGGCCATATCTTTTCACATTTGAAAACTATAAGTGGGGTGTCATCCCAAATGTGTGAATATAACCTTAAACGAGATGTTCTGCTGAAGTGCTATGCACAATGGATTACAGGATTCACTGACTGGTTACCTGGCAGTTATTTTCCCGCGGTGGTTCCTGAATATGTGAGCAGTTTTCCCGCGGAAGTACCTCGTCCAGCGCGCTCTTACAGTACATGACCCTGATCTGGGACCCAGGGCCACACGGCTGGTCCAACCCGAAGTTCAGGAAACACTTGCTCCATCGACCTAGAAGAAGATATGGGTTCAAATCCACCCTTCTGTCAGAATTTCTATCAGAACTACACATGATAACATCATTATGTAAATGACAGTGCTGCATTTGGACAGCAGAACTTGCAGTATAAAAGGACAAAAATAGCAATAGATGTCACAAAAGTGCTGGGTCTCTTATTCCTTGACAAAGACTGGAATTGTTCATTAAAAATTTGGCCAATTTCCTGTGGAAAGTACAGCTATACTTTCTTCATAATGACTTTTACCAACACAGATAAACTTTCAAGATACGGTAAATCATTATTTTTTTGCAGTATTTTTATAATTGCGGTTTTCGCGGTCACTTCTGTACCACAAACTTAAAATTAACGTGAACAAATAATTTTCTTTTTGCGGCACCTGCCGCCACTGCAAACATATAGTTCTGTGAACATGTTGATTTTTCTTAGACAGCAACCTTTTCCTATACCACAAACAATAATGTACAGTAAGATTTCTGACCTGTGTGCCACCAGGAGCACTCCACAGGTTCACACTCCCGAGTCTGCACCTGTCCCTCACACTGTTCACCTCCGTATGCTGCCGGGATCAGGACCTCACGGAAACGTAACCTCAGGCCTCCTGTAGGGGTAACACAGACAGGTGAGTTTCTTATCATGATTCAAAATTTAAGAGCCATGCTTTGTGGTGAATATGAAGTGCATGAGAGCCACTCAAATGGTCAAATGAGTATGTTAATATCACATGACATTCTCATAATCAGGGGGTAATCAATGTCAGTAGTTGACAGTAGTTGAACAATGTCTTTTGATGCTGACAGTAGCACGTTAGCAATTGCCAATGGCATGTCAGTACTGTCAAGACAGTAACTGTCAGTGAGAGATCAGTCAAAATAATTCTCGGGAAGCATCAATACCTGTCAGTTGTATTACAGTTGTGACAGTTAAGCTGCTTTACTGAATTGTGGCTGGAATAAGACTGTCAACAACTGATCAGTCACTGACAGTCACATTTCAGTAGTGTTGGTTTGCTAAGGATTGTCATTGATACAAAATTAGAGGCTTGTCTGTCGACAAATCATCTTCACTATGGTACAGTTGCTTTAGACACAGAGTAGTTTTCCAGTGCTTAAAGTGATGCATTACGTCGGTGAAGGTTAGACATCCAGGTAATTGATATTCATATTATTTGATATTAATTGCATATCAATCAATAGTTTGTGCTTATAAACCTGCCTTTCTGACAAGTCTCCAGCATCACTGACAAAAGGTAGTGGCTACCTGAAATGTTTGACCGTAACTGTTACAATAGACGACATACACATTATTGTAACCATAGACTAGTAGTTATAGTTCTAGCTGTGGCTATAGTATAGTTACCTGTCCCACAGCTCTTGGTGCAGGGTGACTAATAGTTGTAGTTATGGCTGTGGCTGGTGTGTTACGCCGAAAGGCGGTTATACCGGCTATACAGATACAGATACAGATAGTTACCTGTCCCACAGCTCTTGGTGCAGGGTGACCAGTTCTGCCACTCCCCCAGCTCACAGTCCTGTGGACACGGCACACGACAGGCACGGCGTACGGCTGGGCGCGCAGATGTGGTGTTATCTCCTGTACAAAACACACACAAAAACAGTTTAGTAAAAGGCATAGGCACATGTAGTCCAATAGCCTTTTTATGGCCATAGGGGCAGCAGTGGGTTGTTGATCCAATGTGTCTAGCGCAAGGTATTGGAAGGCAGAGTCCATCTCTCTCCTTCCGCTATCTTTTACCTCCCCAACTGAAGTCAGATACACATTTTTTCACTTGGGTAGAGTGAGGGAAGTTGCGTGAAGTACCTTTTTTCAAGGATACAGAGTGTAGCCAGGGATGCTAAGGGAATTGAACCCACAACCTCTTGATCTTGTGTATGCTACCCTGGACATATGCATTATGATGGAAAATATTCTCAAGAACAAAACCTTTATGTAAATGACTGGTATGACTCCTTTTTAGAACACTTTCATCATAGAAAATCATTTTCCTACATACACATCATAAGGAATTATTTCCCTGCATACACAAGGTACAAGTCCTTCTGTTTAATACGATTGATAAAACATTTTCCAGAAAGCTAAAACTGGATCAACCCAGGCTGCTCAAATTTCTTCTGTCTGTCACCATATAAGTGTTTTGTCAGATGCCATGTCAGGCTGGATATGGCCAATGTAAGGCCTTGTTGGGAAGACTGCCAAGCTAGGCTTACCAACATCAGGGACAAACCATGAACTATCATGGGATCCGGAGTTGTTAGCATCTCTTTATACTTACTGGTTGATCCCTGAAGTTTGAAAACATGCAGAATTATTTGTATAACAGACTAAGGTCACACCAATGAAATTAAATGCCTATGACCTGTTTTTATGTTTTTCGCCGTCGCTTCATATTTTCTCTGAAAAAATCTGAGAACCAACAAATTAAATTGGTGTGGCCTAACAATAACCAACCATTTCTACCAATGACTGGAATTTCAATCAAAACCTTGTAAAACATGCAAAAAATGACCTGTATACTTCTATTAATATCTACCTACTAGAAGATCTCTCTTCTCTATTTGCATTTTTTTCAAATTTAAAAATTCCCTTCATATTGGAACCTGCTACAACTCTTGACTGTTAAGTCATTAAGCATAAATTACGATGTACATTTAAGCTGCAAAATGAATGTACTTTGTATGTCTTTCCTTTACACTCCTAGATACCTCTGTTGACCTGATGAGAAACTTCTATGTTTCCTTTCCTAGAATGCCCTTCTGGTCTCTGAGTCAGTGACATATAGAATGGTTTACCCTTTGTGGTAAGTTAGAGTGAAGGGGAGGGTGGCACAGGGAGGAACCAGGGCCAGTTTCAAAGATAAGGCATGAAACCAAAATAAACTCCAGTCCAGGTATGACATTGAAGTAAACCACGGGCCTACAAAAGCAACAGCAGGAAATGGGACACACTGAATCATCAGCTGCCAATAGATGGGCTTGTTTCAGTCCTGATGACAAGTCTGACCAATCAAGTCAAAAATTCTGTTTTACTTTAATTTCTTCAGCAATTTTCAGTTTCTTTAACCTTTGGCACACTGACATAGCCATTTGGCTTTATAAATAATACAACTCTCAATATGGTTATGGGGTTAGGCAGCGGGGAATTGAAAAAGCTGAAGACAAAAATATGTCATGACTTTTAGTTCTGAAAGTAGAGAATCAGGAATGTTTCAAAGCTTCCATGGACCCTGACAGAAGAAATATCTATGGTGAGACTCTGAAGATAAGAAAAATTAGAGTCTTGTTTTCCTGTACTAGTTTTCTTAACCTTCAACCCAAGACTTTGCATGTAGTTGTTTTGTCTACACAAAAGATAAGCACACTGTTGTTATCTCCTGTAGCAATGGCAGAAGAGACTAGGGCTATATATTGACTTTAGATTACAGAAAAGTACAGGGGTAATCATTTTTCACTTTTAGAAAACGTAGTTAAGGATGGAGAGATAAAGCAAGAAGGATCTTAGAGGGATTTGTAAAAAAATATTCTGTGGAAAATATTCTTTTTTTCCTGAGTGAGTTTGATAGTTCATGGAAAGAATGAAGAGCTGTTCTGTTTGAAACATCTGCTTTTTAAAGACCTTTTCCTTTTCCACACACATAAACAAAGAATACTAAGTTTAAGAAGCTATGGGAAAGATACATGTACTGTATCTCTAGCCAAAACACCTTTACACTTAGAACAGGTAGTTTACAAAAACTTAAACAGTTTACTGTATATGAATGTCTTCTACTAATGCCTTGACATCTGTGTTGAGTGTGGCACAGTTGTAGTTGTGAGTGGCACAATCTTGTAAGCCTCAGTAACACTGTTTTCTAATGTTGATAACAGACATGTACCATCTGTTGTTGGTACATTTGGTTATACATATAGTATACCCTGACACACTCACACATACATGCACATGTAACACACACACACACACACACACACACACACACGCATGTAGTCATTTCTCACTAACATTGTAAACACATATCAATACTTTATTTTTGTTGAAACACTTCAATATCACTCTTAAGTTTAATATTCTTTAGTCCAATGAGGTTATGACAGGCTTCAGAAAGGCAGGCTGTAAAGCATCAAGACTTTGTGGTCTCTTAACATAGGCCAAAGCTTCACCATACAGGAACTGGGCAATTACTTTGAAAAGAGTGAGCTGTTGTTACTTCATTGGTTTCAGGATTGTAATCAAATGAAATTGTTCATTTTTTTTTAAGTTAAAAGTGTATAATTAAGACAATCAAACCATACGAACGTTTTTCAAAATCATCAAATTCTTTTTAAAGAATTTGATGATTTTGATGATTTGATGATTTTGATGATTTGATGATTTTGATGATTTTGATGATTTTGAAAAAGGTTTGCTCAGAAGCGGGACTTGTTTTTCAATTTCAAACGAATGGGGATAGTGCTTCTAGATACTTTCTCTGTAAACTTTAAGAAATGGAATGTTCCTACCATATAGAAGAAGATAGAAAACACTTCAGCAGGAAGAGGGACATTTTGGGGTTAAACTAACACCACCTTCCCACCCCTACATGTGCTCATGAAGGCAGAAATATCTCAATGTCACTTTACAAGATTTTAGAGTGATGTAATCATCACTTTGTCCTGAGGGAGGTGGGTGATGGACCATTGGGCCCACTTGGGAGAGCATCAAGCATTTTGAAGATCTTTTGACACCTGTCCATTATAATGAGCAAGCCAAGAAATGAACTTCTTTTCCTGTTGTCCCAGCATTGTTACGAAAATAAATTTTGATTGTCCCACAGTGAGTATGTACTGTCCTAACCTGTTTTTCAGGAAGTATGTATGACATGAACTTTATTGTGCTTACGTTCTGTCTCCCAGGCACGTTATAATTGCAGAGTAGACAAGAAATTTCGGGGGAGGGGGGGTTTCTGGAGCCAAAAGCCGGGACGCATGTCTGATCAACGAAAGAAGGGCTGACGTTCTGATTATTTTCCTTTTGTCCTAAAAATTTCCCAAAGTGTCTTTTTAGTTGTCCCAGCCTAAATTTTACTGGTCAGTGGCCATCGGGACACCATTAATTTCGAGCCCTGATGAGAATAAAGGAAAAGAAATCTCACCTTGCAGACAGAGAGCGTTATTGACAGGCCTGTTGTCCTGGTCGCCCTCTTCAGTGCACCAAACCTGCCGGGTCTGCCAGCCTGCTCCGCAAACCCCTTCTGTCTCCTCATCCAGTAAACACTCTCCCCAGGCCTCAGTGTGCCATCTGAAACAATTGGAAAAATTGTTGCGTATTTTAGTATCATGTACCAAAATGTAGTAGGTAGTTATTTCAATTTAAGGTATTTCTGAACATAATAAGATATTAGTAAGCGTAACATGCTCGCGACTTTAGTACAAACCTCATCATTCAGCTGTGAGGCTGCGAAGGGTTTTTGATGTTCGAGAAATGAATGTTTTCTAAATTAACTTTCAAAGTGGAGGACCAGCACATGCTGCAACGACAAATCAGAGATTTTAGACTTCAGGAAAGTATTTTGGCATTTTGTCACCTTCCACTTCACCCCATTTCCTGTGTCTGACCATTTGAACTCCTGTCATTCTGCCTGTCAATCCTCCCACCACCCATGTGCTGTCAACCTACTCTCAAGTTTACCCCATTTCTTGTGTCTGACCTTTTGACCTGTCATTCTGCCTGACAATCTTCCCCATCCACATGTTGTCAACCTACTTTGTCATGGTAAACAGACACACAAACCAACAGGCCAGATACCCCAAACTATACTTCCTAACCTAGACGTAAAAAATTGTTTGCACAGTTGATAGACCAAATATAGTATCATTTCATGGAGGTAACAATTTTTTTCATATTCATAGTACATGTATCCCCCAATTAAAATAAGTATCTTTCGTTGAATCTTGTCCCAAAGACAGTGACTTTCCCTGATGACCTGGCCATGTTTTCTTTATTACTTAAGTTACCACCTTATCAGGCATCTTTCATCCCCCCTACATCCCTTCTACAAGAGCCCCTCCCTCACTGTCACTCTCCTCTCCTGGATTTGCCACCCTGATACAAAGCATCTGCCTCAGGGACTAACCACTAATCATCACATTGGGTGGTCTGCGTGTATCATAAAATCTAGCAATTATCGTGTCCAGTTAACGAAAAAACTGCTGACACATTACTCTTTCTCTTCAGTATTTATTTATTGAAATTGCAACAGTGCAATACACGCGGAACAGAGGCAGCTGTTGCTGGTGTTGTGTCCTGCACATAGAAACGAATACAGGACAGACAATACTCATTTTCACTTGAGTCTAGTGGGGAAAGTCATGTAAAGTGCCTTTCCCAAGGGCACAAGATCGGTGGCATGTCAGGGCTCTAACCTGGGACCTCTTGATTCCGAGTCGCACACGCTGCCATTGCGCCACACGACCCCTTTCTCTTCAGTATTTTCTAATCATTATAGTCAATCATACATACGTTACGTAAAACTTAATTTCTTCATGGTAAAAATGCCACACTTTCTAGTTCTTCTAAGTGCATCTTTGTCGTATTTCTGTTATAATGTATGATTACACGTTTTAGAAATTGATAACAATTTACAAATTTCTGTCACCTTTCTGCTGGATGGCAAATGAAACTTTTTTTATCATATTAACGCCATTCATTTTATGTTAATTGGTGCATCAGCCACTTTCATTTCATGTTTGTTATACATTTTGTATTTTTTATTTCAACCTGCATTTTGTATAATCTTTTGGTCTTGAGCAAAGGATCTTAAGAGCACACAACGAACCTGCTATCTAATGCTCATAAATCCATGTGAATAGAATAAATAAAATAAAATAAACTTTTTCCTGCCACTTTAAAACAATGTTCATGTTACCTGTAGACTGGACAGGGTGGCAGTGCAGAGACATTACAGTGTGCCTGTTCAGAGAGAGACGGGCAGGGAAGACCTCCGTTCAGGGGCAGCCTCACCACTGTTCTGGTCCTCGTTCGCAGTCCTGAAAAACATCAACAAGTTTTAGTCCGTAAAAATTATGTACATGCCATACAGTTCAACACCTTGTTACACATAAGGAAATTGCTCAAGCAACTGGATAGATTTAAAAAACTGTCAGTATCAGACATTTCAAGTAGCATCAGTGTCAGTGACTTTCAAAATCTACCCAGTTGCTTGAGGCCCGCAAGCCCTTTTCCGTAGAGCGTAATCGGCCATTTTAGTTCTACGTAGAGCGTAGACGGACCGCGCTCTTTGCATTTTGCGTAGAGCGTATTCGCCGTTTTAATTCTACGTAATGCATTGTAGCCACTTGGAATTTATCGTAAAGTGTAATCGAGAGGTTTCCGAATTCAGCGTAGAGTGTTGTCGGGACCCCCCTTGCAGGCCCTCGAGTAACATACTAACAATTTCCTTGTGTATCTTATCACCTGGATGTCTAACATTCATCGGCGAACCCTTTAAATTATGTAATTTTTCCATCATAATCTATCAATTGTACATATACTTTTTGTCTTTGTCTACAATATTTCTATTGTTACACAGGCATTCTTTCTAGTATGTTTACTGAATTCTGACCCTTAGACTAGTACATATAGTTAAAAGTATAGTATAGACTTCTTATACGGTTCAATGTAGATTTAAGAAGAACTAGAAAGACATGAGGATTGTATAGCATAGTTATCTTTGTAAAACAGGTTTAAAGTAAGAACTCACTCAGGAGAAAAGTATCAAAACTAAATTTGTGATCTGCTTCTTCGATCTAGTGACGAATGAAGTGAAACAAACTTTTCTAGCACTTTAGCCAACAGGAAATGAGTGTTTTCAGAGGAGATAACAAACTCCAGATAAGGAACACAGTTACAGTACAGGAAGTTTAGATAGTGAGGGATGGGCAGGTTAGTGTTAAATACTTGTACTTACTTCTTAAATCTAGGACATCTAAGAAACAGGAAGAATTTGACTTTACGAAGGGCCCGCATGCCCTTTTCCTTAGAGCGTAATGGGTCGTTTTAATTCTATGTAGAGCGAAGACGGACCAACGTAGAGCAACGTAGAGCGTAATTGGCGCATTTTGCGTAGAGCGTAATTCGCGTTTAATTCTACTTAAAGTATTGTAGCCACTTGGAATTTATCGTAAAGCATAATCGAGAAGTTTCCGAATTCAGCGTAGAGCGTTGTCGGGACCCCCCCCCCCTAAAAAGAATGTAGCTGGCCAGCCATAGAGGGTCCAGTTTGCCTGCATAGAAAACTGGACCCTCTATGGGGGCCCGCAAGCCTTTTTCCGTAGAGCGTAATCGGCTGTTTTAATTCTACGTAGAGCGTAGACGGACCGCTCAAATATTTTTGCGTAGAGCGTATTCGGCGTTTTAATTCTACGTAATGCGTTGTAGCCACTTGGAATTTACCGTAAAGCATAATCGAGAGGTTTTCGAATTCAGCGTAGAGCATTGTCAGGACCCCCCCTTGCAGGCCCTCCTCTATGGCCAACTCCCCTAGCTAGCTACATTCTTTTAGGGCTACTACTTCTACTATTTATTCAGCCTACAAAAGAGTCTGGTGGAGACTACTTCTAGGACATCTGAGAAACAGGAAGAATTTGACTTTACAGGAAACCCACTAAGTAGTCAGGAAAGACACAAGAAAACATATCTGAGTCATAGTTTTCTGAATTGGTACATGGTAAGAGTACATGTGTGCTTAGGTTACAGTTTCAATCTACTACATGGGGGCACGCAAACCCTTTTCCGTAGAGCGTAATCGGCCGTTTTAAGTCTACGTAGATCGTAGATGGACCGCTCTAATTCAACGTAGAGCGTAATTGGCGCATTTTTCGTAGAGCGTATTCGCCAATTTAATTCTGCGTAATGCGTTGTAGCCACTTGGAATTTATCGTAAAGCGTATTCGAAAGGTTTCCGAATTCAGCGTAGAGCATTGTCTTCTGGAGCTTCCATGTGAAGATACATTGTATGTACATGTGGTCATTTACTTGCTAGGCATTCGTAGGGAATTTATGAGAGAAGTCTCTAACTTCTTTGTGTTGAATCACCTGTACACACTTACAACCTGTACCCCAGTTTCTCTGATGACAAGTGCATTCATTCTATACTCCAGGGGGCTGCTTTGTAGCAGGTTTTACTGTAAATACATTTAATTTTGCTGTGATAATATTTCGAAATAGGATGGAAAAGAGGTCAGTTTTTGCAGTGTATGAAAATCGCAGCTGCAATTCTGTACAATATAAAATGTTTTCTTTGAGCAGGTTTTACAATAACTGCATGTAATTTTGTCGTGATAATATTTCAAAATAGGATGGAAAAGATTTCCGTTTTTTTGCAGTGTATGAAATCGCAGCTGAAATTCTGTAGCACAGTAGTAATACAATTTGCAATGTCATGAATTTGTGGAGTTCATAGGGAAAACCAAAAATTTCTGCATTTACAGTAATTCTTCTTCCAGCTACCATCCTAGCATCCCAACTGACCTTGCTTGAATTGTCTAGCTGTATCTGATAGTAAAAACCCACTAAGACAAAAATATACAGTCTTCTGCAAGATAGAGCATTTAATCACAGACTCCAACCTACTTACAGGCAAGATTAAGCGTTGTAAAAGAAGTCCCTTGTAGCTGCTGTTTACAGAAACAACAGCGTGACTGACAAGCACACAGGCCACACTGCAGCACAACAAATAAAGCATGGACTGCCACATGTAGGGAAAAGTACTTATATCACCAGATGTTTAGAACATGTTGTATTCAGAAGTTGACCCCAAGGTTGTTTGGCTGTTCCAATTCTTTACGCATCATAATTTTGCATGTCCAAAAGGCCAAGGCTATCAATTTTAATATTTTCCATACTGGAATATACCAAGTTTTGTGCCTTCAAGGATGTCAGAAGAATTTTTGTGACGCAGGCATCAAAATTCTTGAAATGTTACTTGGAAGCTGGTGAAAGACTCGGAGCAGAATTGTTTACGTCATACATGAATGTTCATTCCAGAATATCTGCATGACATTTAATGAAATACTAGTAACCTCCATGACAATAATCCTCTGGCCTGACTCTGAAATCTTGTACTATGATCACATTGAATATACATTTGTATTTTAATTTTAAACCTTTCCATCTGTAAGTGAAAGGCTTGCGTGCAAATGAAGCCCAGAGTGGCTACTTCCAAAAGGACTAAATGATGCATAAAGTTTAATTTCCTTGGTCACAGATGTTACAAGCTGGTACAATAATTATTGTACATTTGCCAACACAATCACAGACAGCAGTATATGGAGAATAACAAAGTCTACAAGACTTGTAGGAGGGTCTGAATGGGGGGGTAGTGATTAAGAATTACGCAAAATTTTCGCCAGCGGAATCGCGATTAGTGATTACGAATTACATTTAAGTCTCAGACCTGATTACGGCTTTACGATTTCTGGCTAATGTACTATTACGAATTACGTTGATTTTTTGGGAGGCTGCCTACGGATTACAAAGACTAAAACTAAAAAAGGCCTGATTACGCCTTATGAAAAAGGGCATGCAGGCCCTCTTGTAGTACACAACATCTTCTACAAGCTGCAAGTTTAGCTTAATACTAAACTGTGGACACAAAAAGTCAATTAAGTTAAGTAATAACCAAAAGTTTCCATTCTCTTAGCCAGTCAAATTAAAATATTCTTTGAATCATTCTTTTCATTCTTTTCTGCCGTATGCAAAATTCCATACGGGGAAAGTTTTCCATGCAAAAACTCCATGTTTGAATGGTACATGTATACATGACAATAATCAATATTGAATGTGATCTTTCGAATTAGCAGTATGTGTAACAAATTTGCATACATTAACATGAACAGAAAACTGTGACCTAACACTCCTGTGCCAACCCAAACATCCCTGTGTGCTCGAAGTTCAAAGAGTTCTTTGGAGGAAGTCCCTCCCCAATCATTTATCTTAAGGTCCTTTATTTGACAAGAAACAATACAGTCATGTGCCCCAATGCCATTTTTTTTATAAAAATGACTCAATTTTAAACACAGGTGCAAGGATCCATAAGGCACAGAAGATGCAGTCCTTTTGATTAAAACTTGTCTCATTTTGTTACCTCCATGAAAAATGGAGGTATTGTTTTTGGTGAGGTCTGTGTGTGTGTCTGTCTGTGTTTCCACACAATTGTAGTCAGTATACATGTAACTTCAAAACACCTTTATGGATATTTGGCATGTTGGTAGGTTGCAGGAAGACAAAGGTCAAGGTCAAATATGGGCTTACATTTTTTGTAGACTGAAATAGGGAACACAACATTTCTTTTCCTAGTCCTAATAAAAGTTCACACTTACCCATATCCTGGTCATCAGTAGAGTCCAGGTCGTGACAGGTTTGGGAACACTCCCCCCAGTCGCCCCACTTGGACACCTGGCAGTCACATGGGAGAACACAGGCCTCCGAACTAGCTGGTCGGGACGCACCTACAAACAACAACACACAAAGAGGAAGACTGAGCGATTCAGTCAAAAATTCTAGTATATATTAGGGGTACTAGTGTAACAAAAATGAAAAGAAACCTACAGTGGGGGTCGCTGGAAGACAGACGTAGAATGTCCAGACTGTGCATGATGTACAAAATGACTAATAAACTGGTGGATGTACCAACCACTAAGTATCTGATACCAGCCCAGAAAAGAACAAGAAACAGTCATGCCTTCAAATATCAGAGTTATCAATCAAGAATTGAGGTATTCAAAAACTCGTATTTCCCCAGAACTATCGTAGACTGGAACTCGTTGCCACCAAGCACAGTTGGGGCATCATCACTAGAAAGCTTTAAACAACTCCTGCAATCAAATGTGCAAAGATTCAGTGTAACAAGTCGTTCGGTGTGATATAGCTAGCTGCCGCCGCGCCGCGTGCCTGCGAAGCTGGTGTGTTACGCCGAAGGGCGATTATACCGGCTATACCGATACAGATATTTAGGGCTCAAATTACTGGGTGCATATGAACCTTTATGCACCCAAAATTGAAGATGTGCCCCTAATTTTTACTGTGGGTGCACCAATGCACCTATATACACCTGTATTTGTATAGCGGATACTATAGGGTCATGCACACTATTATACAGCATATTCTTGACATAATATATTTATTATTATACAACATATTCTTAATTTTCTTTGTCATGTCCAGTGTGTAGTCTGTGACAATAGACAGGTTAGAAAGAAAAACCCATCATCTATAATTGGTCTTTTACTGTTTGTTTTCCTAGAACACTGTCCTTAACAACACAAACACAGGACAACTGCATCCTTATCATAATCTTATCTCTGGGAAGTAGACTTATTAGCCAGCAGACAACGTGGATTACCCAGACTTCTGCAGGAAATGATAAGAAAAGTTACCAATTACCTCACGATAGAGCTAACAGCCTTTGTGAACAAAGTAACTTCCAACATTATGAACTGTGACATCCTATCTTGTAGTCTTTTTAGATTGATTGACTGACAGAGAGATACTAGTAGATGGATTTCTATGACATTTTGTTTGTAGGTGCATGTACGTTTCGGCATAAAGTGAATGCTTTTAGGCCCCTACCACCTTCCTATTGAACTGCAGCCTTTGTTCTCACTGTAGATTATATGCCATGCACAGGAAGTAAGGTGGCATTGATAGAGGCTTCCACTCTTACTGATCTTAGCATACTTTCTCTTTTTCATAAGAAGACTAGTGGTAACATGTAGTGCTATAACTGCTGTTTTTCTAAAAAAAAAAAGGATGATTTTTGCCAAATTTCTTGTACTCTTTCCCTTCTCCTCCTAGTGTGGTATGGAAAAGTAACCAGTTAAAAAGTAAGACTTCTCTAACATGGCACCTTGAAAACTAAGTGACCCTTTGGATTGAAAGTGACTTACTATTAGTTACAGCTGCTAACTCATGACTCAGTGAACCACAAGCATTTTTGCACAGTGACTCTCCCAGACAGGACCATGTTACATGTCTGCAGTCGCCTTTCTTGTCTTAGATCTTTTTTTTACATCCCTCTGGAGATTTCATCAAGACATCAACACTTTTTTCGTGGCAATCAAAAACACATGGGAATGTGTGAATTATTTTCCATCATCATCATCATTATATTTTTTATTCTTATTCTTATTAGGGTGTTTGGACCTGCAAAGGTTCTATTTTCCGAAATTGACAGAAAATTGCCACCAGTGAAAACAAGTTTAGTCTTGTAATTTCTTGGAACATATAACGTTCTATGCGCCACCGAGAAAGGTCAGAGGTCACGCAACATGACCCCTAACACCAGTTTGAAGTGAACTTGCATTACCCATGATCCTAATGGTGTCTGACAGATAACATGGTACCAATTAAAAGTTGTGACTAAGCATATCAGAATGAACGATTGAATTCCTTCAGTATGCTGATGGAAAACATTTTGCAAAGAGGTTTGCAAGAAATATCTACAAAGCAGATTGCAACTGTCAATTATCAAAACAGGACATAATTTTAATTTTTGCAATGAATTTTCATGTAGGTCTTATATCTTACTTTTTTATCATTGATAACAACTTTCAATTGGCTATATTAGTGTGATTTGCACTGACTCAACTTATACCTTTTTACAAAATGCAAGTTTTTGGTTTTTTGGTTCAACTAATCTTTTCCCATCTCTTCTGATACTTTTTTTATGGTAAACAAGAAAAAAATGACAAACACAAAAGGTCCACTGCAATGATGCTGGGACCCCCCCATGAGGTCAAATTTTGAACTTGACCTTGGTCTTCCCAAGGATAACCTGCCTGCCAAAAATCATGAACATCAATCCATGCCTTTAAGAGTTATGTTACATAAATCCCACGCTAAAGCAAACCGATTTCATAGCCTTCTGAAGAAGGCAACTATGTTGCATAACATTTATACTGATAGAACGTGCTGGTACAGTATAATGACTAACCTTTTCGCCCTTCCATACAGAACGGGTCGCTGATGGCATTTCCCTCGTAGTCGATACACGCGACCTCCCGTGTTCTCAGTCCGCTGTCACAGCCACCATCAGAGCTCTGCTGCAGTCTGGCTGACAATGGGATCTACAACATGGTAAGAACAGTATTTTATCATCACCGGGTTCTCAAGGATTTGACATATCAAGTTTCAAAAGTTTCATTTCAAACTTTTGTTCAGTTGGCTGCATTGTCACATGATAATCAACATCAAGTCACTTGACAAGATAACTCCAAGACAAGATCTGACTTTACCGGGTTGATGAAGAGACAGAGTGTGTCTCGAAAGCTCCCTAAAGTCGCTAATTTTTGTCATGTGCATCAGTTTTAAAAAAATCTATTCACATAAATATTTATATTCATTTTTTGCAAGGACATGAATCTTCGAAGACAATGATCTTTATCCTTGGGTCATAAATTTTCTTTTTCAAAACTTTGTTGGTCGGTAACATATACATTGTAAAGACCAATGTGTTATGGTTGTTACATGTATCAAGGAGGTTAAATGGTTTACATACATAGAAATGGAGTAAAATCACAATATGAAAATCAGAAATTTAAGTGGCATCAAGGATAATGTGCTTTGTGGCATTGATAAATAGATAAATAGCATTGCCACTAGGACCGAAAAATATGTTAATTGTTTATATATATATATATATATATTATACAATATAACATTATACAGAAATTCCTAGTCTCTCCAAGGAGGTTTTAACTTCCTTGGTCTCTCCTATAATTGCAAGACCAACAACAAAACAAGTCAGCAGAAAACAGTTTATCTAGTGTCAGAGAAGAACAATGAAGAATCGTTGCTGACTCAGGTCTGAGCTAAGTCAGGCTATCCTGTTTACAAACACAGCTGAGGTCAGCTGACTTACGACCTTGTCTACAAGGTCAAATGTAAGATAAAGCCTGATAATGATGAAGACTAATTACTGGTGAATATTACTTGTTGGCATTTTATTTGCTGACTTCAGCACTTACAACTCTGTCCCAATCCAGGGCTCGAAATTAAGGGTGTCCCGATGGCCAAAATTTAGGCCGGGACAACTAGAAAGTAACTTTGGGACATTTTTGGGACAATAGAATAATAATCAACATCAGAATGTCAGCCCTTCTTTTGTCAGTCAGGCATGTATTCCAGGTTTTGGCTCCGGAAAAGCCCCACAAATTTCTTGTGTTCTTTCCAATTTTAGCCTGCCTGGGAGTCAGAATGTAAGCAAAAGAAAGTTGACTTCGAGTTGAAGTCATACAATACTTCTTGAAAAACAGGTTGGGACAGTTCATCCTCACTTTGAGACAACTGAAACTTATTTTTGGGACAGTGCTGGGACAATATAAAAATAGGAAGAAAAGTTAATTTCGAGGCCTGCAATCTTTGATTACCCCTCTTGGCATACCGCAACACTTGTGTTAGGAAAATAGACGTCTAATTTTAGATTATGACATCTGCTTCCAGCTGTGAGTTAGTAGTAGAATTATACCTCAAAATTCTTTAGGTATGTCTGGAAACTTTCTCAACATCACAATAACATTCACCGATAATGTTATAAATATTTTCTGATAGATATCAATTCTATGCCCTTTTTACAATGCAATTTTACTTCTTATCCTTGTTCTGAGGAAACTTAACAAAGATATCCAAGGTTTTCTTCAGTTAGAATTATTTATAAAGTAGAATCAACACTCATATACAGACTCCTGACCTGACAAGAAAAAGGTACCAAAGAGTTTCTTCAAAAAGCATTTTTTTCCCTTTTCTTTGGCAAATATATGAAATCCAATTTATTATAACTTAAGACAAAGTACATATTTTCTCTGAAAAACACAATTCAGTGCATCTCCCAATGCTGAAAGGAGAGCCCAGCAACATTCTGTGTGTCTCGACTAAAGTCAACACTGCCACGAAAAGTTGCGCCTGGCCACCATTGATAAACAACACCCTCTTATACAAGCTACTCTTAACATGACCTTGTGACTTCTCGGGGTTTAAACAGCACACTAAAAGTTGACCCAAGGCTTAAAGACTAAGAAGGAATGTGCCACAACATCCTTGGCGGATCTAAGTACTTAGTGGGCATCTTCAAGACACTCCAAGACATCTGAACTTACTTTTGCTTTCGTACTTCTTTGTGAACAGTGCTACTCTTATCAAACTTAACCGTACTAGCGTTGGACTTATTTTACTACTGTGTATCACTGTTTAGGCCACACCAAGTAAATTTTATGGATGACGTCCGCGCGCGCATTGATTTTGGCCTGTTCCTAAAAAGAAAAACAAGAAATTCCGCTTCCTGTAACTATGACCAAAGAGTCATGACAGTGCCGCAAATCATCAGATTGACGTGAAACCCGGAACGCGAAAACAGGACAGGACGACAACTGCTGTTCCACCTGATTTATTGCTGTTTTGATGATGAATAAAAGACTTCTTGCTTGTTACACTGTGTCACCTCATTCAATTTGTGTCCTAACATTTGTCGTCTCTTAGTATATTTCTAATCTAAGCATCTTGTTTTTTAGGGCCCTTCTTGTTTTTTTTCGCCCTCTCGCATTAGATTTAGGGTCTCCAAAGGACGTCATCCATAAAATTTACTTGGTGTGGCCTTAAATAATTCCCTAGGAATATTGACCTACCCCNCACTCACAATTTTGTCATGGTTGGTCCCTAAAACATAACATTGAAACAGAGCCTTGCAGGGAGGAAACTTGACATTCTGGGAGGCCCAGGAGACTAGCAGGGGATTTCTGGTTTTTGTTAATGTCCGTCTGTTAGTACCATGTTGCTTAGGGACATGGAAAACAAGGTTCCAGATCTGGGTATGCCCTAGATCGCTGTAAACAAAATATGAAGGAAAGTATACTGTAAATTCAGTTATTTTGTGATGGGAGAAAAAAGGAGATTCTCGGTAGTACATTAGTGTAGTACATAGTGCAATACAGTTGTACATTGAAAACACATATATTTGAGGTGTAATGAATTTGTGGTGGAGACATTCTGCAGTTTTGATTAAAACCACTGCAAAGTTTTGAAGATTCACAGTACGGTAACTTGTTTGGCATCAATGCCTATTATATGATCATCAACACCGACTCAGTCACAAGCTTCTGTCTCCAAGCAGAAGTAGGGATCTGTTTAATGTTAGGTGTATTTTAGAAGCATCTACCAGGCTTCGGGAAGTGACTGAAAGAGTAGAAATTGGCCAAATATAGATAGATAACATACCGGGGGAGTTGGTCCACCAGAGAGCACATATTGCCCCACTGCTCTATCAGATCAACTCCTTCAGCATGCTATCTCTCTATTTGGCCAATTTTTACTCTTTCTAGCCACTTCCTGAAGCCTGGTAGAGGCTAGTGTTTTAGCAGCTTTTTTTTCTTTCTACATGTACATATACTAACTAGAAAGACGTACAAATGTCACAAAGACATGCCTAAATCTCTGAACCAAACCCTACATCTGCTTGGGAATAAAAAGGTCTCATTTAGGGCTGCGTACCTTTTCGTAACATCAGGTACAGGTACAGGTACAGAGGTTTAGGTACAGGTCCGGACCTGTACCTGTACCTGAAAATTCACGCGCGTCACATGTTCTACTGAAATTCTTCAATAATGACAGAAACATGAATGAAGTGTTGACAATTTGTCCTGTATCTTTCAAAGAACATCAAATATAACCATGGATTATACAACTAGGTTTCCTATCTCACTTCTCACTAGTTCTCAGAGACGGAAACTAAGGTAAATCTCTGTATTTTAACGCTGGATGTTCATTTTCCTGGCAGGCCTCCTTGTGTGTAGTGATCAAGTATGAATTTTTGTTCCGGTCCAAAAAACGGTCCACCGACGTTTCGTTTTTTTCGGACCGGACCGATACTATTTTTCCGGTTTGTACCGGTCCCAGCCCTAGTCTCATCAGACAGATGACATCTGTAGAAGGAAGGCCAAGTTCAGGCTCTAACCCCTGCCATGGCTGACATGACAGGTCAGGGGTCACCGCACTTGCTAACAGGGAAGTTGTCCAAATGTTGCCACTATTAGTAAGTACCCAGGCAGAGGGCCAGAGAAGAGATGTTAAATCATGTTCATTGTCATTTCAGTTGGCCTGTGGCCTGGAACATGTGGGGGCTTCAGCCTTCAGGCATTAGCCTCAAGTGTCAAACCTCTGCAGAAGAACCCTACACACTTCTTGGGAAGAGTACAGGTTGAAACAAACAGGAGCAAGTAGAAACAGGAAAACCCCTGACTCCTGGAACACTGGGAATCGGAACTGTGCTGAACCTGGGCAGCCAGCTAACGACACCAGTGCGCTAACCACTATGCCAAAAGGTCCGGACACATTAGAATGGATCAGTTAGGCCACACCGATTTAATTTTATGGATGACATCCTCTGAAGACCCCCAAATTAGTGCGCGCGGGCGAATAAAAAAAAATTCCGGCCAAAAATAAAAATGCTAGTAAACCACAGGAATACAAAGCTGGTATTGTGAATTCGCGAAGGGATTAGCGACGTATATGACAATCCAGCACTAACTGGCTTTTTGCGGCATTTATGAATCGGTACTGTACTTATGTACTGAGTTCTTGAGTCGTGGAGCTTCGAATTCGATAGCCTTGGTGCTCGGCTCCGTTTTGTCGCTGACTACCATTGACTACCCAGGCCTAGAGCCAGGCCAGAGCCTCGGTGGAGGTGATCTTTTTTTTTTTTTTAAGGGCGACAGGCGAAAATCAATGCGCGCGCGGATGTCATCCATAAAATTAAATCAGTGTGGCCTTAGCGGGCACTTGGACCCCACTGTTACAAGGTGATGGGGAAAATGTTTAGACGGAAGGATAGGTTCAAGAACCAAATACATTGTACTGTACTTGTAAAAAGTTATGTCCTACATTTTTCCATACTATGCTGCCTAGCCATTAACCAGTGAAACCCTCACCCAAAGTATTCTAAATTCTTTCTTATCAATCAATCAATCAATCAATAACCAATATCCTTTCTGGTATCCTGGTGGCTCCTCTGATCACTTTTCCGAAGAGCTACAACCTTTTAACAAGCTCCTATATAACCTGGTAAGAGATTTCCAGACCTGTTAACAACTAATAGAAAGGAAAAGTTAAATGGTTTACCAGACTGGTCACCTACGCCACTGGGTATGACATTTACCTTGTCAATTCTAACTTTCACTTTTCAAACCTCAACTTGGTAACTATGACAACCGTTCTGAATGACGTAGCATCTCACCTGGCGACAGCTGGTCCAGGGTCCGACCTTCCAGGTGTAGCTGCGGACCGTTATCTCCACCGTGCAGACGGGCAGGTCCGGGCAGTCCTCCACCTCGGAGAACGGGCCGCACGGGCGAGCGCCCTCCCCGCGTGCCGGGACCAGCACGCGCCGGGTACGGTACCGGGTCGCCTCGGGGGCGCACGTAGCCGAACAGTCGGACCACGGGGACCAGACGGAGTGGACGCAGTCCTGGGTACAGTTGTAACACGGCTCGCTTAGGATGGGGAGCTCCGAGTCTTGTTCGCGGCAGTAGTACGGTGGGACCATACGGTTATCCACCGCGCGGAGGCAAACCGCCCGGCGGGCCCGGCTGCACTCACCCCCGCCGCGCTCGCACTCCCCCCACGGTGATGGCGTCCACTCGTACGGGCCCGCTTCTAGTCCGTCACTCCCCGAATTCAAAAGCACCACGGCACAAACTACAACCCAGGGAAGGGCAGAGAAAGTCCTCGGTTTCCCCTGTGGGCATGACATGGCTGAACGTAAACAATAGAAGGAAACGATGACCCACAAGCAATTGTCAAACGTTTTCTCACAATAGAACGATTAACGCACAACAATGAGAACGATTAGCGATTTGAGACGGTCTTGGCACCCGTTCAGGCGATTCCGGAGTTGTCTGGAACTCGTGCTGTCTTCTTCTTTCCCTGAGAACTTGCTGTCTTGTGACCTCGCTGGCTTCTTTCGTGATCTCCGACTCACATTTCTGCGGACTTTGTGATTCATACCCCGAGAACGCAAGGAGCTGTACCGCTATCTACGGGACAGTACATTAACACCTATGGAGTGGGTGTACCTATTTCTCAAGATTATTAGAACATGACACAGATTGCAAAAGCGATCAAAGCTGCCTTTAGTTCCTCAGTATTTTAAGAAAAAAGAGATTTTAGTAAGTTTTCTCTATCTATTTTTGGAATTTAGTACAACGGTGGCCCCACCAGAAAGATAACACTTGGTCGGTCCCCCACCTTAAATCAGTTCGCCCACGCTCCAACTGCGGAAGTGAAATAAACAAGAGCCATAGTTTGCGGGGCGCCCGAAGGGGTTTTGTCAACACTTTTTTTACTTGTGCGCACATCATCAAAGGTTTTTTCTTTGCCAAGCGGAGCGTAAAAGAATCGAGGCTTCAGATGTCTTTTCATACACTTTTAGGTACAAATTTTAAACTTTGAATGGCTTTTAAGTCTTCCTGTTGGTTGTGACAAGGAGGATTTTTCTTAAAACCTCCTTGATTGTAGCCAAAGTATTTTTTCAAGTAAGCATTTTTTTTACAAAATCAGTATCAAGATAAGCTCCACCCAGACCCTCCCGTCCGGGCGTGGTCAGTGTGTGGGCCTGCCCTGTGGGTTCTCTAACGAAAGACACAAACCAGCTGTTCATACAGTCACCGAGTCTGGTTTCATTACTTATTAAACACAGGTAAACACCCTCGCAGAACGGGCACTTCGCTTCGGACGAAGGGAAACAGCCAAGATAACGATTTATACAAGTTTTATCAATATATATTGATGAAATAATTGTTTTCAATGGGTAACGCTGATTTTTAGGAAGACCAGAGTGACTGGTCGAAAGCTCTATTCGTAGGTGAGAGAATTATTTGTGTTAGATCAAAAGTTTAACTTTAAACGGGTGAAGAAGTTGTTTCATCAATAGGACTCGATTCGGGGAACCGTTAGATAACGATTTACACGAGTTCTATCAATATATATTGATTACAAATAATTGTTTTCAATAGGTAAAAAAAGTTGTTTCATCAATAACAGCTTTTTAGACGGCCAATTCGAAGATTTCGATTCGGGGAACCGTCAAGAACAAAACGATTTACATAAGTTCTATCAATATATATTGATTAAATCATTGTTTTCAATGGGCGAAAAATTGTTTACAAACACCACAGATATAGATATCATAGAGACCAAAAAAAAACGACACAGAGAGAATGAACTGAGACTCGCCACTGCTGCGTCTCTTTTATTCATCTTGGGTGCACAAAATTGTTGCAATGTATTTACAAGGAGAACTTCCTCCTTACAAAATCTTCATATATATTTGTACATGCAGGTATAACGGGGGTGAATCTCATGCAAGGTTATGACACCAAACTGACTGACAATATTTGCGATGAAGGCTCTTCGCTATTCTTAATTACAACTATTTTAGGGACACAACCTCTTGGTCTATAAACTAATAATAAGGAGCTTAAATGACGTCCTTGGTCTGAGCTCTTGGTCTATCTATGAAGACTGTTCTTTATCAATTGTATTGTACAGGGTCTGCCTCAGGTTCGTGGATCGGCTGTGCCCATACAGCCCTTTAAATCTTTGGAATCTTTTCATCAGGCTCCCTGTCATCGAACATCGAACCTGGGTCACCCCCAAAAGACCCTCGGTCTCCTCCAAAATCACCCCCAAAAGACCCTCGGTCTCCTCCAAAATCACCCCCAAAAGACCCACCGTCTCCTCCAAAATCACCCCCAAAAGACCCTCCTTGGTCCCCTCCAAAGTTGCCCCCTTCTAAATTCCCGCCAATAGACCCTCGGTCTCCACCAAAATTCCCACTAACAGACCCTCGGTCTCCTTCAAAATTCCCAGTAATAGACCCTCGGTCCCCTCCAAAATTCCCACCAATAGACCCTCGGTCCCCTCCGAAATTCCCACTTACAGACCCTCGGTCTCCTCCAAAATTCCCACCAATAGACCCTCGGTCCCCTCCGAAATTCCCGCCAATAGACCCTCTGTCTCCTCCGAAATTCCCGCCAATAGACACTCGGTCTCCTCCGAAATTCCCGCCAATATACCCTCGGTCCCCTCCAAAATTCCCGCCAATAGACCCTCGGTCCCTTCCGAAATTCCCGCTAATAGACCCTCGGTCCCCTCCGAAATTCCCACCAATAGACCCTCGGTCTCCTCCGAAATTCCCGCCAATAGACCCTCGGTCTTCTCCAAAATTCCCGCCAATAGACCCTCCTCCAAAGTTGCCCCCATACTTGTTTCCAAAGTCATCATTGAAAGACCCACGGTCTTTGCCAAAGTCCGGCATAAAGGAGTCCTCGTCAACAAAACCATCTCCAAACTGCCGGGTGGGTTTGCGGTGACAGTCGTCGCAGTCGCAGACAGCTACGCGCCGGAACCCAGCTTGTAGGCCCTCCTGGAGTTCAACGTCATTACCATTCACTGCGGATGGAAAATATTAAGTGGTAGAGCGGTAAATGTGGCGACTGATATATAACGATGTGAAACAAGTGGCAGAAGAGGGGATAAGAAAAGAAATATTGACATAGAACGTCAAGTTTGGAAGGAATTCGGAAAAAGGAAAAGAACGAAAATAACAGTAATCGGACAATCGGTAGAAAGGCGCAAATTCTGTATCGGTAATAACGAAATAATTCCCAAGACAGAAGAGAGGTTACCTCGCCATTCCACGTTCTGTATGGCCACTACATCAGAGGATTCTGGGTAGTGTTCCTTCACTTCTGCGCCCAGCTTGTTTCTATCACCATGGAAACGGCGGAAGTAGGTCCCATTTCCCTGTTCATGCAGGTGTGGAGATAGTTATCAAAACAAATCTGTACATAAACTAGAGGCAAGAAAGCATTATAAAGAATGGCAAATTCTGAAAGTGTTCCCATGGTGGCTCAGATGCAGAATGCAGTCAGGTCGATAGATGGCGTTTTTGACTGGTTGCATTTCGGCTACGAAGGTCGAAGATCTAGAATCAGCGATAGGAAACGAAACGAAACAAACACCCGTTTTTTTGTCAGCGACATCACTTTTTTGCCTCACTGAGATATCAGTATACTAAGGGATAGTGTTGATTCAACATAACAATCGAACGTCTCCACCAAAGTTGCCCCCAAAAGACCCTCCTTGGTCACCTCCAAAGTTGCCCCCAAAAGACCCTCCTTCGTCTCCACCAAAGTTGCCCCCAAAAGACCCTCCATGGTCACCTCCAAAGTTGCCCCCAAAAGACCCTCCTTGGTCACCTCCAAAGTTTCCCCCAAAAGACCCTCCCGTGGTCTCCTCGAAAATCACCCCCTTGGTCTCCACCAAAGTTGCCCCCAAAAGACCCTCCCTGGTCACCTCCAAAGTTGCCCCCAAAAGACCCTCCTTGGTCTCCACCAAAGTTGCCCCCAAAAGACCCTCCCTGGTCACCTCCAAAATTTCCCCCAATGGGACGTAATGGAGTGAAGGTTAGAACCCACCAGTGGGTCGGTACTGAACAGTTTCCCTCCGCGGTTGTCCGGACGGAAAATCCACAGCAGAACGTCCCCAGCCTCCTCCTCATCCTCCTCCTCTGCTAGGTACAGTCTGCACTGGGTCAAGTCTGTGGAGATGTTAAATAATCTTTATTCTAAATCTTTAATCTAAATAATCTCTAATTAATAAATGACTAATAAACTGGTGGATGTCCCAACTGCTAAGTACCTAATACCAGCCCAGAAGAGAACAAGAAATAGCCATGCCTTCAAGTACCAGAGTTATCAACCAAGGATTGAGGTGTTCAAGAATTCATTCTTTCCTAGAACTATTGCAGAGTGGAACTCGCTGTCACCAGGTACAGTAGGGGCACTGTCATTAGATAGCTTTAAACAATGTCTAGAGCTAGAAGTTCAAGGGTTAGGTGTAACAAGTCGATCGGTGTAATATAGCCAGCTGCCGCCGCGCCGCGTGCCTGCGAAGCTGGTGTGTTACGCCGAAAGGCGGTTATACCGGCTATACAGATACAGAAGCTGGTGTGTTACGCCGAAAGGCGGTTATACCGGCTATACAGATACAGATACAGAAATAGATAATGGTAAATCGGGCGACCACAGACTGAAGACGAATCATGCTTTTTCGTTAGCTAGTAATGTCATTGCGGCCTCACTACGACTCGTGGATAGCCTAGCACACTGGGTCAACCCTACTCTTCTCGAAAAGTGTGTAGGGTTTTTTATTTACGTTGGCACCCTGAGCTCCCTCGTACATGCCAGCTTTTCGTATACATATACATATACGTTCCCATCCGAAAGGATTATGAGACTCTTTTCCAGTCGTGTCCATTTGCGCATAGATCATATTACTGAAAAAGACATTAAAACTTGTGGTTCACTGCAATATACTATTGAAACCTTATACATGTGTGTACACATGTACTGATTTTTTTTCTTTCAAGGTCACATTTCCTCACACAGGCACACATTTTAACTTAAAAAAAAATAGGAAAAACAAAGGCGCAGACAAATAAAGAAAGAAAAACAAAAGAGAACATATATAGATGAGAGATGTATTTAAACCTACTTTTCGGAACCTCCATCTCTGCCCTCTGACAGGTCATCCCGCAGCCGTTAGAGCAACATTTACTCCCCACAGCCTTACAGTCGTCATCGGTCTCACACTCCACTGCACACGTGCCAACCTTGCCGTACGGAACCGCCGGGCACTTGCCGGTTTGTTCTGCAAATACGAATTTTCTACGTGAATTTTCCTGGAACTGGCTAAAAAAACTTTCAATTAAAGGCAAATAAAAGTCTCTTGTGTCAATAGAAATTTAGATCTATCGCAGAAAATCTAATCAGAAGATCCATTGCGGTAGCGTAGGAACCCGCCCATTTTCGAACTTGACCTTCCCTTTTATTAACCCTACCCACCTACTAAATTTTTTAACGATCCATTCACAGCATCTCGAGTTGCCCTGTTCACAAACAAACCAACAAACATAAAAGCTCCACTGCAGTGACGTAAGAACCCGCCATAAGGCCCATTTTAGAACTTGACCTTCCTTTTTATTAGCCCTACCCGCCTACTAAATTCTATCACGATCCATTCAAAACATCTCGAGTTATCCTGTTACAAAACAAACCACAAAAGGTCCACTGCTGTGATGTAGAAACTTGTCATAAGGCCCACTTTCGAACTTGATCTTCCTTTAATAACTAAACGTCTTAAAGATTCCGTTCATAAATGCCACTGCGAATGACGCACCTCCCTTACACTTGACGGGCCTGCCGTCGGTCTTGTTGAAGAAGGCGACGTGGTGGCACCCTCCGCAGTAGGTGGGCACGCAGGTGATGTTGGAGTCGGGACTGTTCGGGTCCAGGTCCCCGCACATGGCGGACTCACACGCGGAGGCGTCCGGGCAGGCGTACGGCACGTACGGGACACCGGCCGGGCAGGCGTCTGGTGGGGGACAGACATGTGATATTTGTGATTCTCAACAAAATAAGTTGACCGTTGGCTAAGATGGGTGGTGTGAGTGTGATGACGATGTGTGACTCAAATAATTGGTCACCTTAGTGATTTGAATTGAAGTATACGTAATGCTAACGCTAGGGAATAACGTTGCAATAGGGTAACGCAACAGTAGATAGCTTTAAGCTCGGGCTGGCCCAGTACATGGGCCATCCCTGCCCCCAGAGGTAATCAGGACTCCAAGTGCGGCCATGTAAATAGAGTTTAAGCTACTAATTTCGGTTCTTTTTTTTTTTTTTTTTTTTTTGTCACTTTGTCGTTTTCATGTTTTCTTTTCAGCACCACCACCCCACCGGCCGCACTTAGCCGTGCACCCAGCACCCTGGTCGTGATGCCCCAGTGAGGGGTTTTGACCAGTACCACATAGAAGTAGAAGTAGGGTGAGGTAAAAACAGGAGAGCTAGACAGACCTGACGCACAGAATGGGCATATATAAAAATTGCAAATTACTTCTTGCCAACCAACCATCTGACCTTGTTGCTCCTGACAAAAATTGCATGCCGTAGACAAACATTAATAATCTAGGCGTAAAGACTTTGGGTGGGCCGCCATAAGCGCGATTTAATCAGGCTAGCAAAATTCTAGGGCCTCAAGTCGAAGGCTGAAAAAATTTTAAAACAATCACATACCACGAGTGTACTTCCTGTCGTAACCGCCAGAGTAGCCATCGCCCGTGTAGCTAGTATACGTGTAGCGTTCCCTTGCGTCGATGTAGATATCCCTACCGTAGTCGTAGAGATCTCTAGCGGTGTTGTAGAGTTCCCTGCCGTAGTTGTAACTGTCCCTACCGTCGTTGTAGCCGCCCATGTAGTTACTGTACTCTCTGTTGTACCTTTCGCCGAAGGTCTGATCCCAAGTCGTATCCTTCCCACCATCACCTTCCCAGCCAAAGTCGCTACTGTAGGAGTCGTTCTTTTCTCCACCTGGTGGCTTCCAGTCGCCTTCTTCACTCTCCTTTCGCTCCTCAAGGGTTTTAGAAACGCTCTCTTCTGACTCAGGCTTTTCTTTCAATTCCCCCTGCGCCAGGGCTCCCAAACAGAAAACTGCTAGAAGCAGGAGCAGTGTAGAGTACGCCATGCTGGTTCAGAGGACTATATGAACCGTACGAGCGGCAAAGTACCTCTGACTGACGCCCGATTCCACATCCCAGTTTTGTACTGTCCACTTTTTAATACCAAAGAAATTTCGAACAATGTGAATTAAAATAGGGATTTGATGTACTAAGCTGTATTTTTTGTTGCTATACGCTGACCAAGTAAGGTGATATCGGAATTTCTATCCCTGGTCTTATAGTGAACAGTGACGGAAGTTATACTTCTTACGTGTTTCCGTGTCTCCATGGTGACGGAGAATAACAAGTTTTGGACAGAAGAGAAACATGCGTCAATACTGTGATGCCACCATTTTTTCCTTGCATAGCGACACTGAGTGATGAAAAGCATATCTGCTCATGGGATAAGAAGCTTGTCATGTACGCACGATCCAGTAATCTTGGCATTTAGGTAGGCTTTCTAGACCGTAAACCGTACAAAAGATACCAACTGTACAAGATTCCTTCTAGAAAATGGAGGTTTCTTTCCCACTTATTTTCATCAATTGAATGAAGACCTTTATTTTACATTTTTGCCCCACTGTGCTAAGCACGGTCACATTGTACATATACATATACGAATACATCCATATAAATATAAATATACATATAACTATTACATGTACATGTATATTTAAATGTCTAATGTATTCCAGTCATTTCAACTCTCTATCAATCAGTTTCTCACATTGCTGGGGATGAGATTTCCCTTTTTGGTTGTGTTGATTTGTTGGAAACAAAGAAAATTGACGCCGATAAATGTTGGAAAGAAATTCATCCCAAGTTTCAGCACCAGGGACAGTACCTGGACACTCCCAATGTGGTTTTGTGGCGTTCAGAACCGTACTTTGTCCAGAACCATGCTCAGGTACGGTTCTGCGTATCCAGAACCGTGCCTGGGGCAAATCTACGTTCTTGGGTACACAGTGACTATCCAAAACCGTGCCTGATCCTGACCCTAACCCATTCAGGCATTCAGAACTAGATGGGCACGGTTCTGGAGACAATATGTTTCGAGTTCCACTGGTCTACATTCAGACATACCAACGAAATGCACGATTTAATGATGCCATTTATACCTTTGTCTTGACGTAAACACGTATCCATAATATATCTTGATTTCTAATGATAACAGAATGGCGTATTTTACTGTATGATCTAGGCGTACTGACTCAAATACTTGTATGTATATATGTATAGGAATGCATATGTAGAAATTTGGCCTTAGTTTTGCCAAAACTTGCTTGTATGAAGGTAAAGTATGCCAAGGTCTTTTGCTCCTCGCTCCCCGTGTGTTTCTAGGTAGGTTCCTTACGTTTGAATGTGAAGGTTGCACTGAGAGGCGAAAATATGGTAAAAAAAGTCCTTTGTATTCAAGTATGACTCACACATAGAGTTGTATAGAAAGAATCCATCCATTGCGTGATCGAACTCAATAGAAGTGTTACTGCACATTTCGTCTTAACAAAATTGGCGGCCAAAATACCACCGCTTATTATTTTCTTCCATTGTTACTTGGTACTTATTACTAATATTCTGCGTATTAATTTTTCATCATGCGGCTGCCTTAAATATTTGATGGGCCCCTTCATTGACATTTATTGAAAGAAGTACTTAAAGAGATTATATGCACATTATTGTGTGGGAAATATAATATCAGGTCATAGTAACGTGTTTTTGTGATACGAAATGAACATGTGGTCAACACAACACAACACAGGACTCTAATAATCTTGTGTGCGTGACTAGTGACAAGAGAAGAAAAGAAATACGCCTGAAAGAGACGACACCATTGATGTAAACATCTTTTATTCATCATGCATATCTTAACACGGCTCTGACGCATGCAATCAACTAAATGGCACAAGCGAAGCAACAGTTATTTTCCACTAACAGTTTGGTATTTTATAGCCTGGTATCCAGTCTTACGTGATTGGGGGTATATTGGGGTGTTCAGGCAGGTTGTGCCTTCGGGGGCTCTAATAGCTTCCCCCGCCCAGTGCAACAGACCGCCCCGGTAGGAGAGTTACGCTAATAAGAGACAGTATGCTTGGGGATTTGGTTTCGAATTCCCCCAACACGAGGACTAATCAATCTCTCGTGAAATACACACCGGGAAACCTATGTGAGGCGGGCGGGACAGAGCTCTTTCGGCCCCGACCACGATCAGACTGGATACCAGGCTAGGTATTTTACCAAGCCCCCCTCCCCCTTCCTCACCCGTTCTTTCCGATGACCTTACCGAATTATACAGGTTTTAGCATTCACAAAAATGGAGACATAGTCTTTCAGGATCTTATACAAATACAATATACATTCTTCTACCACAACAATGTCGTTGTTGCTTTTTGCAACAAAAATATTGTAGTCATTACTTGAACATCTGACTCTTTCAGGATCTTATACAAATACAATATACATTCTTCTACCACAACAATGTCGTTGTTGCTTTTTGCAACAAAAATATTGTAGTGATTACTTGGACATCTGACTCTTAAAATCATTTTTCAAAACACTTTTCCCTTTGCTTATGAAAAGTTGTGTGTGTGTGTGTTTGTGTGCGCGCGCGCGCGCGTGTGTGTGTGTGTGTCTGTGTGCGTGCGTGTGTACGTACGTGCGTGTTTGTGTGCGTGTGTGTGTATGTGTGTGTGTGTGTGTGTGTGTGTGTGTGTGTGTGTGTCTGTCTGTCTGTCTGTCTGTCTGTCTGTCTGTCTGTCTGTGTCTGTCTGTGTGTGTACGTGTGTGATCAGTTTAAATTCTGTGCATATGAAAATGCGGCGGCGAAAACCTATAGGTTGATAGCTCTGTTTAAATACAAGAAATGTACAGGGAACATTGCTACTAAGAAGCAAAAGTTTCATGCTAAGCATGCATACGCAGCCTTAGGCATAGGCAATGTCTTCTCGTAATCCTGATTTGGTTGCTCTTCATCATTAAGGCTGAAACCTGGATCACCTGGGAGCCTTAAAGCTGCATTATGTAACATTTAGGACATTACAAAAAGTCAATTTTCTCGTCATTTCCGTACAGAGTAAGTTGAATCAACCTACTCCATTGCATAAGCAAGTGTAGGTAGCCAAATTATTACGACTTACGAATATGTCTTAAAGCTGAAAACACAACTGTCAGCCATTTTTGTTCTGATAGTTTGTGGTGGTACCACAAACTGAGTGCGCCTCATGTGGGCTGTTCTAGCGCCAACCATACATGTCAGAAATGTAATTGCACACATATGTTGAAGAATGGAATGCACAAATATGTTGAAAAGTGGATGTAAATCAAAGTAGCACGAAGATTTTTCTCTGCCTGATTTTTCTATTGAAATGTTTCAATTTTTGTTGCAAAAATGTTACATAATGCCCCTTTAAGTTCTTCCCAGGAGGTTAGATAGACGGCCGGGTTGGGTAAGGGCGCCGGTCTTTACCGCGGGATTCGGCTGCCCATGTCGTCCTCTCCTCCGGGGCCCTTGTCGTTCGGCCCGTCGCGATCGGGCCCGTCGCGGTCACCCATCGGCCTCTCCCTGTCCTTCCCACCGCCGCCGTCCATGCGGTCTCCCCCGTCCCGATCATCCCCGCGACCGCCACCATCCTGACGACCTGAACAATTTTGTATAAGAAGAGAAATGGTTAAGGACAATTTACTCAGTTATAGGTTAAACTTGCGGGTTTTTTATTCAACTTCGCATAGAAGGTTATCTTTTTGGTTTAGCACGATAACTCAAGAAGCTATGGATGGATTGTTATAAAACTTGATAGTTGGGTAGGTCTTGAAAAGATAACATTTTACAATACAAACAAGAAAGTAGGAGTATACTTATTGGGCTCAGCTAGCTGACAATCATTAAAATATGAAATGCGTTAAAATTCGATATGTCTGTAAGTGGCGGAAAGATAAACATGAAGGTAAACAATGTTAGTATTTGCAGTTTGTCAACTAGGCTTTACATGTGGTTACAGATTCATATGGATTTCTTTGTTGGCTATGTACGGACTGGTTAAGTTTCTGTAGTGAAACTGTAGTGAAAATGGGGCATAATGTTGGCATTACCCTGGATGCCAACTAGTATCGGGTCGTTAGCTGTTTTCCTTCGGCAGCCAAGAGCCCTTCGCCCGCCTATCTAAATTACCGCTACGGGGGAGTTGAGCCCGAGGGGCTTGTCCGGCCCTAGAACTTTGTAGAGCCAGCCAAACTCCGGGCTAGACTCCCCCGTAGCGGTAATTTACACCAGCGGGCGAAGGGCTCTTGCGGCCCGGAAAACGAGTTCTGGCTTCCAGGGTATGTTGGCCTGTGCTCACCTCTCATCTGGCAGCCCTTACAGTTGCAAACGGCCACGACTCGCCAGGCGGTCTCCCCGCCAGGAGGCTGCTCTCCCCGGTAGATCTTCTCATCTTCAACTGTGGGGGAAGAAAGCCCGTTCATTAGACGGAACTGGAACAAAACTTGGATTGTCTCTACTCCCCCTCTCCTTCCCCTCTCTCTCTGTCTGCCTCTATCTCTCTTTTTTTCTCCCTCTTTCTCCCTCTCTCTCTCTCTTCCTCTCTTTCTGCCCCTCTCTCCCTCTTTCTCTCTCCCTCTCTTTCTCTCTCCCGTTCTCTTCCTCTTTCTCTCTCTCCCGCTCTCTCTTTCTCTCTCTCCCGCTGTCTCTTTACACCAAAGAATTAAAACCAAGCAAGCTCAGAAAAGTCATGCCTTCAAGTACCAGAGTTATCAACCAAGTATTAAGGTGTTCAGAAACTTGCTTTTTCCTATAACTATCGATGAAACTCACTGCTACAAAGTACAGCAGGGGCATCATCCCTAGATAGCTTTTTTTTTAAACAAGTCGTTTGGTGTAATAAAGCCGCGCCGCGTGCCCGCGAAGCTGTTGTGTTACGCCGACGGGTGGTTATACCTACTCTCCAAGCAGAGGTTGGGGTTCCAGTTGGATTGGGTAAAAGAGTTAATTCCAGTGCAAAAAAGAAACCCCGATAAAAAGTCTATAAACACGTCAAAAATAACCCAAAACCCAAACCTCTGCT